TATAATATCCCTTCTCTGCGGTGCCATCTACAGAGGAGAGTGTTGCAGAAACTGCAGAACCTTGTGTAGAATAAGGGGTGTGCCACGCCTTGGTTAGCTCCTTGTGCACCTCAGGGAAAAATGCCGTTGGTTTGTGACGAGGGGCCTGCTGGTGCCCCGGCAGAAACCAACCATCCAGCCGACTTCGAAGAGGCTCTTGGCCGAAGTGACCGTTCGAAAGGGAACTTCGTCACTCTATCAATTGAGAATTTAACTTCCGAATAAACTATTAAAGAGCACCTATCATGGATTTTTGAAAATGGCTGTTCATTTGGTGTGGACTATAGCTCTAAGGGAATGAAAACATCCTGCAAAGATTTAGACCTGAGAGTGCACCGTATATAAAGTTATTGTTTTTCAAAAGTGAGAGTCGACTCTGAGTCTATGAAATTAATTGTTTTTGAAACGAGTCATTAGCTGTTTCGTAGTGACGTAGATACGAAATGGCCGTGCCCAGTTACTGCGCGCACAGAGTGTAAACTTGAGGTCTAGAACACATTCAAATACTTCAGCTGAATCGCATCATGTCGAGAAGACTCTGTGTTCTACATTGCAAAGACAGTTCAGCCACTTGTTTACATTGTCCTGGGATGAGCATGTGAAGAATCAGTGGTTAGAGTTGTGAATTCAAATGTGGATTTGCAAGCCGGTTGTTCCCGAAGGAGGGCTCAGTATACAGTGTATCAGGTTCGTCCTCCTCCCAATCACAATCTGTAAGTATTATTAATAATGTTTGCTGTTATGTTTTCTGTAGCATGCACAATATAGTTAAATTGTGTTGTGTGTGTTGTGTGTGCAGCTTCTAAGCGGGATAAAGTTAGTTTTGTTTTTGATATTCACCAGACATTCACTGAAAAATGGCAATTACCTCCTAAACGACTTAGCCAAATATGACTTCGCTCTATATAATAAGCACTGTCCCTCAAAAGCCGCCGCAATGTGAGTTTCACCGGGAAACCTCACTCTTGACGGACACGCGAGTAAGAGACCGTGTGGAAAGTGCACTTTTTCTGACACGTTTGTTCAAACACTATATACAATTTTCAACACTTGACAAGCTATAATCCTGGTTATGGGTGTTCCGTTTCCGACAATCTCTGCCTACGGTTTGCAAATAACAACTGACTGGACCAATCGCCGCAGATTCGCGTCACTCAAAGGAGGTGTTTGGGAAAATGAATCGTGGAACGAATCATTTGGGAGTCGTTGAGCAAATCAGTTAAAAATAAATGCACATTATAAGACAAATAAAGTGGTTTTTTTATTTTTTATTTTTTATCCTTGCATGCACGTTAAACTGTTTTGGGGCACTCCCAAAACAAAAATGCTATGATAGGGGCTCTTTAAATTCAGAGATTTAGGAGTGTAAACAGACTCTGGACTTTTATGCAAAAAACCTCCGGAAAGCCTACATGGGTATTATATATTCACTAGTCTATTAGAATATGAAAGCAATGCAAACTCTATTTCTTCAATCTTTTTTTTTTTTTTTTTTTTTTGCAATAACTGCTGTTTACACATGTATGTATTCACCACTGAAACCATAAAATGCATGCTATTATGCGTGTCAAATAGCAGGAAACCATTTGTCTTTGTTTTGTCATCCCTTTGAAATAATATTGAAGTGAGATGGGGCTGTTTAGATGCCATACTGGGATGAATTGAGCATTTGAAATCCATAATTCTGCTCTATGGTCCGTGTTATGGATGATAAAACAAGTTCCTTTACTCTATTATTGAAGCCTTTTCCTGTGGCAGAAGTGTAAAAAAAAGGTTTTAAGGAAGAGGAAGGCCAATGAGATCATTTGTCTCTGATGAGGTCTGTGGCACTGTAGTTAATCATGTGCTTCTCTGTGGACAATATTTGATAGAAATTAGTCTGAGTGGAATAATGGAGATGGAAGTTTATGAGGCCCATTCTTATACAGTGTTTTTCCTCATACATAGTTTGATTGAATATTTTGTGAATATTTTGCCATTCCATGATTCTTCTAGTCAACACTGTCAAATGAGTCTCAAAGTGAGCACAATAATAAACCAAATCCCACTAAAATAAAATCTTACATTATTCTCATAATAGACAGAGACTTTACATTTGAATCTTTTTGTCTATATTTCCACACAGTTACAACTGTCCGGGGTTAATTGTAAATTCATTTTAAACAATAGATAAATTGCAGTTGAAGGGAACAAGTTTGCCTTTTTATCGTCTGATGTGGCCAGCATTCATAATTAGACCTTAGCTATAGGTCCCATGTACCGCATAAAGAATGAACAAAATGTCAGTAGGTGCAGCAACACACTTTTTTTCTGATTTTACACTGACTCACCCGTAACTGCTTTTTGTCTTGGCAGATTAGTTCACTTGTTTGAAGCAAAACCTCTCAAGGTTTAGACAACACATCAGTACACTGTAACAAGACAAGATATCTAAAAAAGTATTCTATGGACTAGAATGTTTTCAGTGAATTAATTTGAATTTTGTTCTGGAAACATGGGGGATCCATCTGTCTCTCTGTTTGTCATTTCAGTGTGTAAACTACTCTGAGGTCTGCCTTCACTTTCCACAGAGTCAGAGGTCTCATTTTCCCATCCACATTCCCCACTAGCATCAGAATGTGTGATGTATATGTGACCAGATGTTAAGTTTGTCTTAGAAGTGAAGGTCATGCCGAATTATTTGAGTCCGCTGAAATTGAAGCCAAATTTCTTTCTTTGCTGCATCAATGCTGTCTTAGTAAGCTTTAAGAGTGAAAATAGCTGTTAGTCACCCTGTGTGAGTGTGTTTGTGAGTCTGCCCCCCAGGTTAACGTCTATCCGTTTGTGGTATGAACAGACAGAGATGGAGCAGGGTGTGTTATTGTACCCCCTTGTGGGGTGACGAGGAGTTCATTTTAGATTCTGTGGAACTTAAGCCAAGAGTCCAAGTTGAACTCTGAAGAAGGTTGTCCTGTAAAGGTCCATGTTCATGCTTGACTCATAATGACCATACTTGCTCCTTTGTAATGAAATGTTTCTGCCATGGATTCAGAATTTAATCAAACTTATTCTAGACTGGAACAAGATAATACCATCATATCATCTGTAACCTTCAGACACTTTGTTGTTTTTGTCTTGAGCTACAGCCAACCTTGAAGCAAGATGGCTGTAAACATATTTTGTTTTATTGCCTAAACAGACATGGGGTGGGGCTTTTGAGTGCTTGAGGCTATTTTTTTTAATCAGTGGTTGTTTTAAGTTGTTTTGCTTCAGGACACAGATTGTATTGGGTCGGACATCAAGTGATGACCTGACCTAGCACAGTTCTAACTATTTTTTTTTTATTATTTATTGTTATTGATTGATTTGGTTATATAGTAATACTTAATTGCATGCATAATATACTGTTACTACTAAATTATATATAATTTATAGTTATTACTAAAGTAACTAGATGTGACGTGTAGCAAGGACAATGTAAAATAAAGTGTTACCAAAATACGGCGTTAATGTTTGATTAGTTTCAATATATCCAACAAATGACATTGCGGACAGCACAGATGTTTATTCTGGTTGCAGATCTATTTCAATTTAGATCGCATTTTATTTAAAAGGTGCAGTACATTTTCTGAGACGCACTGCTGAAAGTTGATTGGACTGAGCACCATAACACTCTTGCAGCCAATCAGCAATAGGGGGTGTCGACTCATGATGGGTGAGGAGAGTGAGCAAGAGGGAGATTTGAAGAAAGACTAAAGAAACATTGCTAAGAAACATAGTTTTGCTGTTTCAAAGAACCAAGTATGCTCTTGTTGTAATGTTAGCTACAGTAACAGGACAGTTTTGAGTGTCAATGTTTGTCTGGAGCTGGTGTGCTACTGGCGGCTAACAACCAACTCCTGCTTGACTCACCTAAAGGATTATCAGGAACACCATACTAATACTGTGTTTGACCCCCTTTCGCCTTCAGAACTGCCTTAATTCTACGTGGCATTGATTCCACAAGGTGCTAAAAGCATTCTTTAGAAATGTTGGCCTATAAAGTTGGCATCTTGCAGTTGATGGAGATTTGTGGGATACACATCCGAGGCACGAAGCTCCTGTTCCACCACATCCCAAAGATACTCTATTGGGTTGAGATCTGGTGACTGTGGGGGCCATTTTAGTACAGTGAACTCATTGTCATGTTCAAGAAACCAATTTGAAATGATTCGAGCTTTGTGACATGGTGCATTATCCTGCTGGAAGTAGCCATGAGAGGATGGGCACATGGTGGCCATAAAGGGATGGACATGGTCAGAAACAATGCTCAGGTAGGCCGTGGCATTTAAACGATGCCTAATTGGCACTAAGGGGCCTAAAGTGTGCCAAGAAAACATCACTCACACCATTACACCACCACCAGCAGCCTGCACAGTGGTAACAAGGCATGATGGATCCATGTTCTCATTCTGTTTACACCAAATTCTGAGTCTACCATCTGAATGTCTCAACAGAAATCGAGACTCATCAGACCAGGCAACATTTTTTCCAGTCTCCAACGGTCCAATTTTGGTGAGCGAGAGGGGTGTGTGTTTGTTTGAGTTGATTTCAAAGATCAACAGTGTTTCTCGGAAATCACTTACTGCACCTAACTTTATAGTTTCATTGATGGTTTTTGAGGATGAGGGCTTGTCACAATCTGTTCATGTCAGAATATGAAAAATCTGTCTCTTTTACCAATACAAAATATTAAAAATATATATTTTCAATAAAAGATTTGGAAGATGTTTTCTTCTTTTGGAGTCTCCTGTCTGTATAAGACGCTGATAGTCAGGAGTAGAATGCTGAAGCTGAATTTGAAAGGTTATGTTTTGAAAAACAGATGGTCTCTGAAACATCAATCAGGCTATTCAACAAAACATACAGCTTAAGCACTTCTTTACATGCCATGTACATAGCATGACAGGAGAAAGATCACATTCAGTTAAAGTGCTTTTTCAGCCTTATAGATTTCAAAACTAATGTTTCAGAGACCGGTGATGGGAGTGTACAAATGACTGTGTTCCTCCTTCACTCGATCATTTCACATTTCCCCCTTCACCTGAAATAAATGTCTGCAGATTTACCTTTTCTCATAAATGCCACCACTACACATCTATTCCCCTTTTGCAATCCCCTGTTCTGATATACTAGTGAAATTTGAGAAGTGTGGGTTACAGAGCTCTCTCATGTTTATTTCTTCTCGACAGATTGAAGACGCCCAAACGGGCAGTGTTTGCAGGCAGCATGCAGCTGTTGGCTGGAATTAAGCTGTGTACGGGAAGAATATTGACAAACCATCCACACTACGAGGACCAGGCGCTGAGGGAGAGGACCAGACAGGCAAGTCACTGTTTTCACTCTTTTCACAATTCAATCCAAGCTCTACAATGTCCTGGACCTCAGGGACATGTTTTTGCTTACTTGGTGTCAATGCTAAAATTTTGCAAAACAAAGTATTGGTTTGTGATTGCGCAGCAGTCACAAAATATACATTTATTTTGTCTAATATATATTGTTTACATAACATATACTGTACATCATAATGGTTCAGAATTGAAAATATGGTCAAGCTTTCAAGGCCTCTGCATCAAAAAATGTACGACTTCTCCGAACCATATGAGCAAAGAATCAGATCTTTTATTTTGCATTCAAGCCTCATTATTAAAATGAATCAGTGTGAATTAAAAAAAGATAATAACACTAAAAAAGTCTTCAGATACTGTTAGAAGGAATTAAAGCATTGAAGTCTATAAGTGTGTACCTTAACAAATCAGTTGATAATCTTAATGATGAGATTACAAATGGACCGCATCAAGAAGATCATGAGCAAATGGTTCATAAATCCTCTTTAAGAGCTTTCTTAATGAGATATGCACTTGGCTTCATCGGCAGAAGTGTGACTTTTGGCATAATTAGTTTAATTTAATTATGTTTCTCATAGGGGTGGTTGGAAGTTGACACATCACTAGGCGTCTTTATGAAGTGAAATAACTCCACAGCACTGCTGTTATATGTGCCATTACTTTCATGTCATGGTGGTGTATAAAAGAAAAAGAAAAACATTTTAAAAATTCTGATTAAAAAGTATAATGTACACTGACTCAAATCTGTCAAATCTCAATTTTGAGCTGTAATTTGGATTGTATCAACTATATATCTCTTCCATTTTTGTCTGAAAGAAAGATTGTTGAATTTAATAGTCAGAGGAGGATTTCTAATGATCAAATGAGGGTGTGTTCATTCTCACATTTGTGTATGAGAGTGGAAAAGAAAATATGGATCTGAACAGCTGGCGGAAGAACAGACTCCTGCTCTAGTGTACTTGCTTCATTCAGAGTGTTGATGAGAATTGATCTAACCAGAAGAAGCCAAAATACCCATCAAATCATTATATTAAAGCAGAGGTTCTCCAACTGGAGGCATGCAGAGAGGTTGAACGGGTGTGTGGTGGACTTTAAAATGAGGAGGCAATCCTCTCTGGGTCTAAGTTAAATTAGTCCGACATAAATTCATGTACTAGTTCAACTTGATGTTTACACTGACTGTTTCCAGATTTACCTTACCGTATTGTACCCTTATTTATGTTAAAACCAAGATGCAACCAATAATATAATTTTTTTATGTTTATATTAATAGTCATTTAAATCAAGTCAAATCAAAGATTCATGTTGTTTCATAGATAACAACTAGGGATGTGCTAAAATCCAATTCAAACAATTCAATTTCAAAACAGAAAGAATTATCCTTTAGATGCAGTCAATCTGTGTTCTTGTTCAATAGCTGGGGACCGCATATTTTAGATAAACAACCTTGTCATTTTGTCTGTTTTTCAAGGATGTTTTTACTTTAAATGGAAGTTTGTAATGTTGTAATTCACCTTGCAGCTTTTTAGTTTGGTTCATGATTTTTAACTCTTTCTTGATTATTTCTAAATGATTATTTATTATTACAAGGCCCCTGAAACCTGTGGCCTGTGTACCATCTGGTACGCTACTGGATTGGAGATGCTTTTCTCTGCTCTCTGAAAGATTTTTTTAGTCGACGAGTAGTCGTTTAAGCCATTAGTTGAGTAATGCAGTAGAGAAATGCAACTTTCAGACAGATTACATAAGAGTATTTGTATTTGATTTTAAACTGTCCATTTAAACAAGAGTCCATTGGGGTTAAATATATATATATATATATATATATATATATATATATATTGTACACTTATGCTGTTTTTCTCTTCACTTTTGTTTTCACATTCTTCACTTGCTTTTCCAAATGCTGCAGTTCTAGTTTCATGTCAGCTAGAACACCAAAGTAAAACACATCACCATTTGGTCCATTTTTAGCAGACACAGATATCTGTTTTGCACACTTTGTCACTGCTGTGCTGCAATAAACTTCTTCTTTGAGATATTTAATGATCTTCATTCTTTTCTACACTGGCTATGTCACTGATCATTTCATGTCTAAATTAAATTCATATTGGCCAAAGTAATGATATCCGAGTCGTTGAGTAAGTAATTAGCCCATTCATTTCCACCAATTTGACCCATTCAGGGTGATTTGCAGACCTGTTGCAAGCATGAGAAACAGGCATTATCGCATTGACAGAATGACAACATGATCGTCCAATCACAGTGTGATGAAAGCAGCTCCTGAAACACAATGAGCTCCAGGAGGCGAATGCATACTGCTTTGAACATTATTGTATTTCCCATTGTGTAATATTTGCATTATTCATGCAATGTTGATTGTTTTCTCACCCGACATTGATGATGAGGCATTCCCTCCTTTGCCTCCTTTGAGAAAATGCAACAGCACATGTTTACACCCTTACAGAAAATGTTTATAAAATATGTATTTACATTTTGTCTTTGAAAATGACCCATACCTTTACATAATATTAGCAAATATGTTATTAATCCATAATTGATGTTTCCAATGTTTTTCTTGGAACAGTAATTTTGTTTGTTGGGTTGCCATGGATTTCCTCAAAGCGTGCTGTTCTCTTCACTGTACGGTATGAATCTGTGGCTGATGAGAAAATGAGTTTTAGTTGTGATAGTATGTCAACCTCAGCGTATAAAAAGGGCACGGAAACCCTACAACCGGGCTTTCAGCAGCCTTCCTGGCGCGTTGATCCGCTGTCTGCATGATATATGGAGATGTCAAACCTAATCATGGCATCTTCAATTATGCTGCCTTTGCTCCGTTAATTGAAATACTGCAAGTATGTTTTTGTGGTTTGTGAAACTATGCATTGGCTTCTGTGACATTTTTTTCTGCTTACTTGGCGGATCTGTTTTTCTGCTTGGTCACAACAGTGGTATGAAAATGTCAAACATTTTAAAGCTACATTGTGTAACTCTTTTAGTTTATTCTTAGCTAAAAACACTTGGTTCTTTAAAAATATATGTGCACATTAATGTATATTTACTTCGTTCAAGTAATTAAGTAAAGTATTTCTGAAACAAGCTTGCATTTAGGCAATATACACATCATGCTTATCCTTACTATATGTTAATAACTATGGCAGTAAACGCGATTAATTTATGGTGTTATTCTGAACCTCTTGGCTTGCCATAATCCTAACTAAACGTATATTACACACGGTGCGTTTCCTATGCATGTAAAAACGAATTTTCGTGTATGAATTGCACCATAAACGCACTGCGTGCGAGACGCATTTAGTGTGACCAGGTTGATATATCTAGAGCCTCCATTTTTGCACTCAGGTCAAAGTCCCATGGCCCTCTATCAGAATCCAGAGTTTCAAGAAGATCAGAGAAACTCAAAATGTCGACCCGGAAAAAAAAAAAAAACGAGTGTTACCCCTGTCGGTTTTTTTTTTTTTTTTTTTTTTTTTTCGGGTCGACATTTTGAGTTTCTCTGATCTTCTTGAAACTCTGGATTCTGATAGAGGGCCATGGGACTTTGAAAAATGGAGGCTCTAGATATATCAACCTGGTCACACTAAATGCGTCTCGCACGCAGTGCGTTTATGGTGCAATTCATACACGAAAATTCGTTTTTACATGCATAGGAAACGCACCGTGTGTAATATACGTTTAGTTAGGATTATGGCAAGCCAAGAGGTTCAGAATAACACCATAAATTAATCGCGTTTACTGCCATAGTTATTAACATATAGTAAGGATAAGCATGATGTGTATATTGCCTAATTGCAAGCTTGTTTCAGAAATGGTGACAACATTTTTTACTGGTGACAATACTTAATTACTTGAACGAAGTAAATATACATTAATGAGCACATATATTTTTGAAAGAACCAAGTGTTTTTAGCTAAGAATAAACTAAAAGAAAAAATAAGTTTCTCCAATCTTCTTGAAACTCTGGATTCTGATAGAGGGCCCTGAGACTTAGACCTGAGTGCAAAATGAAGGCTCTAGACCCTTCCAGAGCTGAGATATTGCAACGGACGGACGGTCAGATTAAGTTTTGGCAAGGAAAAAACTGATCAGAAAATGTAATGAAAATGTTCTTGTGAGTGTATAATATGCCATTGAAAATAAATACGGGTAAGGGGTTCTAATGTCGGTCGCCATGTTGCCCCTCCATCTTGAAAGTACATTAGCCAAAGAGGGACATACCCGTTAATTCAAGCTTCGCCTTTCGCGTTTACGTTTGAGTTAACACTCATGGACGAGGTCGAACTGGAAGCCATGTTAATCTTGGACTACATTGGCCACCGTAGGAGTTAAAACGAAATCGGAATTGAGAGGAACATAAACTAATATTCACTGGATGGTCATATATCTTTTCACCACTAGATGGGGGTAAAAATCACACAGTGTAGCTTTAAATGTTTAAATCCCTCTTCATATGCACAAACACTTGATAACACAACTGTTATCTGCAAGCTTGAAAGCCTCTGCAATAAAGCAAGGACCTTACAGTTAATCACAGTGAGATTTCTGCTGATCAGTTACTTAATTAGCATAAGTCCCCCAAACCACTTGTCTAATGTCCTAGAGACTTTAATAAAAAAATCCAAATCACCTTGGAGTACATTTTTTCCACACATACCATAAATCTGCAATGAATCTTTTACCTCTTAGCCTTTTCCCATCTTTGCCTGTTTTGTTTCCTGCAGGTATATCAGGTCTATGCGCGTCAGTCTGCCGAGGAGGTTCATAAAGTGCTCTGTTCGGTTGGAGCGGACTACATCGTGCTGGAGGACAGCATCTGCTACGAGCGCAGGCACAGCCGTGGCTGTAGGCTGAGGGACCTGCTCGACCTGGCAAACGGTCATGTAGGTCACAAACTCACACAGCATCTCCAGTTCATGCCCACACACGCCAAGCTTGTTCCATTTCAGTGAAAGTTTCTCCGCAAGAACCAGAGATTTCTTTTCCGAGCAGCTTTGCCCTTTACTGAAGTTTTCACGCGGATATAAGCAAATATCATTTGGTTTAGACACCAAGCTCACTGGTCTTTCTTTGATTTATTTTTGTCTTTGGCTCTCCGAGGTGTTTTCATTTCGTGCATAAAATGTGTAGAACTGTTTTGTGTAAAGTTGATGCTTACATTTTTCATTTTGTCACATAATCTTGTTCTCACTCACCCACAGCTCATAGTTGTTAAATATTGCTTCACCCTGCTTGCAATCTAGCTTAAGTAACTTTTTTTTCCACTTGGGTAGCTTGATTGTTCTGTAGTTAATTATAGTTGTGCATAATATCTGACAAAAGCAAAATTTCCAACTTCTAAGCTGCAGCACTTCATATTTCTGTCTGTGCACACGTCAGCTTAAAAAAAAAATCATCTCTTCCACATCCTAGCAAAGAGCTCTGGCTGAAAATATCTTGTCAGCAGTTGTCATTCATGTGTCTGAGGTGAATGCCATGCCTTTGAAAGATCTCACAGAAGTTCGCCTCACTTGCTCCTCTTGATCTGACTTGAGCAGTCAATGAAAGAGCCTCGCTCACTTACTCATTTGATGCAGCCCGACTCCTTCCTTCAGGCTGCCTCCAGCAGTTTGAATAAGATTCACTATTGTACCATGTTCTGTGTGCATATGTTAGTTTAACCTTGATTCAATCTGTCTGGTTTAATTAAACATTGCTAATTGCAGACAGAATTACCCAGGAAGCTATATGCAATACTGATGGCCCAGAAACAGCAATGTTGTGTGCGGTATACTTTTTTCAATTCGCTCTGATCTCTCCCATGGGTGGCAGTTTTTTCGATCTCTGGGTGTTTCAATGGTCTCACAGCAGCATTTCAAGGCCTTTCTGTTAATTTGGGAATATATCTCAAAGTAAATGTTTAAAAAAAACCTCAGGGCACAATTTCTCTAACACTTTAAAGATAAAGAAGTGGAATACTCTTTAAAAGAAGACTTCTGAGACTCTTCTTCATCTGAGAACCGCTCTAAAATGTTCACCATAAATGTAAAAAAAAAAAAAAAAATTCTTATAGAAAAGCACCACCATTTCTACATCCCACTCAGACCCTGTGTCCATTACAATGGACATCACATGTCAGCCCCCTTTTTTTAACTTCTGGAGCATTTCACAATGGACAAATATGAAATAAAAATGCAAAAATGGAGTCACTAGACCCTTCCAGAGCTGATATACTGAGATCCCACGCAACATTTATGCCATGATAAATATCTCAATATCTCAGCTCTGGAAGGGTCTAGAGCCTCCATTTTTGCACTCAGATCTTAGTCTCATGGCCCTCTATCAGAATCCAGAAGATTTCAAGAAGATTGGAGAAAATTATTTTTTCGCACCAAAAAAAAACCGAAAGGGGTACCACTGTCGTTTTTTTTTTGGGTCGAAATTTTGAGTTGCTCTGATCTTCTTGAAACTCTGGATTCTGATAGACCTGAGTGCAAAAATGGAGGCTCTAGACCCTTCCAGAGCTGAGATATCGGAACTCAAAAATTTGACCCGAAAAAAAAAACGACAGTGGTACCCCTTACGTTTTTTTTTTTCGGGCGAAAAATTAAGTTTCTCCAATCTTCCCAAAACTCTGGATTCTGATAGAGGGCCATGAGACTTAGACCTGAGTGCAAAAATGGAGGCTCTAGCCCTTCCAGAGCTGAGATATCGAAACTCAAAAATTCGGCCCGAAAAAAAAACGACAGTGGTACCCCTTACGTTTTTTTTTTTTCGGGCGAAAAATTAAGTTTCTCCAATCTTCCCAAAACTCTGGATTCTGATAGAGGGCCATGAGACTTAGACCTGAGTGCAAAAATGGAGGCTCTAGCCCCTTCCAGAGCTGAGATATCGAAACTCAAAAATTCGGCCCGAAAAAAAAAACGACAGTGGTACCCCTTACGTTTTTTTTTTTTGGGCGAAAAATTAAGTTTCTCCAATCTTCCCAAAACTCTGGATTCTGATAGAGGGCCATGAGACTTAGACCTGAGTGCAAAAATGGAGGCTCTAGCCCCTTCCAGAGCTGAGATATCGAAACTCAAAAATTCGGCCCGAAAAAAAAAACGACAGTGGTACCCCTTACGTTTTTTTTTTTGGGCGAAAAATTAAGTTTCTCCAATCTTCCCAAAACTCTGGATTCTGATAGAGGGCCATGAGACTTAGACCTGAGTGCAAAAATGGAGGCTCTAGCCCCTTCCAGAGCTGAGATATCGAAACTCAAAAATTCGGCCCGAAAAAAAAAACGACAGTGGTACCCCTTACGTTTTTTTTTTGGGCGAAAAATTAAGTTTCTCCAATCTTCCCAAAACTCTGGATTCTGATAGAGGGCCATGAGACTTAGACCTGAGTGCAAAAATGGAGGCTCTAGCCCCTTCCAGAGCTGAGATATCGAAACTCAAAAATTCGGCCCGAAAAAAAAACGACAGTGGTACCCCTTACGTTTTTTTTTTTTGGGCGAAAAATTAAGTTTCTCCAATCTTCCCAAAACTCTGGATTCTGATAGAGGGCCATGAGACTTAGACCTGAGTGCAAAAATGGAGGCTCTAGCCCCTTCCAGAGCTGAGATATCGAAACTCAAAAATTCGGCCCGAAAAAAAAACGACAGTGGTACCCCTTACGTTTTTTTTTTTGGGCGAAAAATTAAGTTTCTCCAATCTTCCCAAAACTCTGGATTCTGATAGAGGGCCATGAGACTTAGACCTGAGTGCAAAAATGGAGGCTCTAGCCCCTTCCAGAGCTGAGATATCGAAACTCAAAAATTCGGCCCGAAAAAAAAACGACAGTGGTACCCCTTACGTTTTTTTTTTTGGGCGAAAAATTAAGTTTCTCCAATCTTCCCAAAACTCTGGATTCTGATAGAGGGCCATGAGACTTAGACCTGAGTGCAAAAATGGAGGCTCTAGCCCCTTCCAGAGCTGAGATATCGAAACTCAAAAATTCGGCCCGAAAAAAAAACGACAGTGGTACCCCTTACGTTTTTTTTTTTGGGCGAAAAATTAAGTTTCTCCAATCTTCCCAAAACTCTGGATTCTGATAGAGGGCCATGAGACTTAGACCTGAGTGCAAAAATGGAGGCTCTAGCCCCTTCCAGAGCTGAGATATCGAAACTCAAAAATTCGGCCCGAAAAAAAAAACGACAGTGGTACCCCTTACGTTTTTTTTTTTGGGCGAAAAATTAAGTTTCTCCAATCTTCCCAAAACTCTGGATTCTGATAGAGGGCCATGAGACTTAGACCTGAGTGCAAAAATGGAGGCTCTAGCCCCTTCCAGAGCTGAGATATCGAAACTCAAAAATTCGGCCCGAAAAAAAAACGACAGTGGTACCCCTTACGTTTTTTTTTTTGGGCGAAAAATTAAGTTTCTCCAATCTTCCCAAAACTCTGGATTCTGATAGAGGGCCATGAGACTTAGACCTGAGTGCAAAAATGGAGGCTCTAGCCCCTTCCAGAGCTGAGATATCGAAACTCAAAAATTCGGCCCGAAAAAAAAAACGACAGTGGTACCCCTTACGTTTTTTTTTTTTGGGCGAAAAATTAAGTTTCTCCAATCTTCCCAAAACTCTGGATTCTGATAGAGGGCCATGAGACTTAGACCTGAGTGCAAAAATGGAGGCTCTAGCCCCTTCCAGAGCTGAGATATCGAAACTCAAAAATTCGGCCCGAAAAAAAAACGACAGTGGTACCCCTTACGTTTTTTTTTTTGGGCGAAAAATTAAGTTTCTCCAATCTTCCCAAAACTCTGGATTCTGATAGAGGGCCATGAGACTTAGACCTGAGTGCAAAAATGGAGGCTCTAGCCCCTTCCAGAGCTGAGATATCGAAACTCAAAAATTCGGCCCGAAAAAAAAAACGACAGTGGTACCCCTTACGTTTTTTTTTTTGGGCGAAAAATTAAGTTTCTCCAATCTTCCCAAAACTCTGGATTCTGATAGAGGGCCATGAGACTTAGACCTGAGTGCAAAAATGGAGGCTCTAGCCCCTTCCAGAGCTGAGATATCGAAACTCAAAAATTCGGCCCGAAAAAAAAACGACAGTGGTACCCCTTACGTTTTTTTTTTTGGGCGAAAAATTAAGTTTCTCCAATCTTCCCAAAACTCTGGATTCTGATAGAGGGCCATGAGACTTAGACCTGAGTGCAAAAATGGAGGCTCTAGCCCCTTCCAGAGCTGAGATATCGAAACTCAAAAATTCGGCCCGAAAAAAAAACGACAGTGGTACCCCTTACGTTTTTTTTTTTGGGCGAAAAATTAAGTTTCTCCAATCTTCCCAAAACTCTGGATTCTGATAGAGGGCCATGAGACTTAGACCTGAGTGCAAAAATGGAGGCTCTAGCCCCTTCCAGAGCTGAGATATCGAAACTCAAAAATTCGGCCCGAAAAAAAAACGACAGTGGTACCCCTTACGTTTTTTTTTTTTGGGCGAAAAATTAAGTTTCTCCAATCTTCCCAAAACTCTGGATTCTGATAGAGGGCCATGAGACTTAGACCTGAGTGCAAAAATGGAGGCTCTAGCCCCTTCCAGAGCTGAGATATCGAAACTCAAAAATTCGGCCCGAAAAAAAAAACGACAGTGGTACCCCTTACGTTTTTTTTTTTGGGCGAAAAATTAAGTTTCTCCAATCTTCCCAAAACTCTGGATTCTGATAGAGGGCCATGAGACTTAGACCTGAGTGCAAAAATGGAGGCTCTAGCCCCTTCCAGAGCTGAGATATCGAAACTCAAAAATTCGGCCCGAAAAAAAAACGACAGTGGTACCCCTTACGTTTTTTTTTTTTGGGCGAAAAATTAAGTTTCTCCAATCTTCCCAAAACTCTGGATTCTGATAGAGGGCCATGAGACTTAGACCTGAGTGCAAAAATGGAGGCTCTAGCCCCTTCCAGAGCTGAGATATCGAAACTCAAAAATTCGGCCCGAAAAAAAAACGACAGTGGTACCCCTTACGTTTTTTTTTTTTGGGCGAAAAATTAAGTTTCTCCAATCTTCCCAAAACTCTGGATTCTGATAGAGGGCCATGAGACTTAGACCTGAGTGCAAAAATGGAGGCTCTAGCCCCTTCCAGAGCTGAGATATCGAAACTCAAAAATTCGGCCCGAAAAAAAAAACGACAGTGGTACCCCTTACGTTTTTTTTTTTGGGCGAAAAATTAAGTTTCTCCAATCTTCCCAAAACTCTGGATTCTGATAGAGGGCCATGAGACTTAGACCTGAGTGCAAAAATGGAGGCTCTAGCCCCTTCCAGAGCTGAGATATCGAAACTCAAAAATTCGGCCCGAAAAAAAAACGACAGTGGTACCCCTTACGTTTTTTTTTTTGGGCGAAAAATTAAGTTTCTCCAATCTTCCCAAAACTCTGGATTCTGATAGAGGGCCATGAGACTTAGACCTGAGTGCAAAAATGGAGGCTCTAGCCCCTTCCAGAGCTGAGATATCGAAACTCAAAAATTCGGCCCGAAAAAAAAAACGACAGTGGTACCCCTTACGTTTTTTTTTTTGGGCGAAAAATTAAGTTTCTCCAATCTTCCCAAAACTCTGGATTCTGATAGAGGGCCATGAGACTTAGACCTGAGTGCAAAAATGGAGGCTCTAGCCCCTTCCAGAGCTGAGATATCGAAACTCAAAAATTCGGCCCGAAAAAAAAACGACAGTGGTACCCCTTACGTTTTTTTTTTTTGGGCGAAAAATTAAGTTTCTCCAATCTTCCCAAAACTCTGGATTCTGATAGAGGGCCATGAGACTTAGACCTGAGTGCAAAAATGGAGGCTCTAGCCCCTTCCAGAGCTGAGATATCGAAACTCAAAAATTCGGCCCGAAAAAAAAACGACAGTGGTACCCCTTACGTTTTTTTTTTTTGGGCGAAAAATTAAGTTTCTCCAATCTTCCCAAAACTCTGGATTCTGATAGAGGGCCATGAGACTTAGACCTGAGTGCAAAAATGGAGGCTCTAGCCCCTTCCAGAGCTGAGATATCGAAACTCAAAAATTCGGCCCGAAAAAAAAACGACAGTGGTACCCCTTACGTTTTTTTTTTTTGGGCGAAAAATTAAGTTTCTCCAATCTTCCCAAAACTCTGGATTCTGATAGAGGGCCATGAGACTTAGACCTGAGTGCAAAAATGGAGGCTCTAGCCCCTTCCAGAGCTGAGATATCGAAACTCAAAAATTCGGCCCGAAAAAAAAACGACAGTGGTACCCCTTACGTTTTTTTTTTTGGGCGAAAAATTAAGTTTCTCCAATCTTCCCAAAACTCTGGATTCTGATAGAGGGCCATGAGACTTAGACCTGAGTGCAAAAATGGAGGCTCTAGCCCCTTCCAGAGCTGAGATATCGAAACTCAAAAATTCGGCCCGAAAAAAAAACGACAGTGGTACCCCTTACGTTTTTTTTTTTTGGGCGAAAAATTAAGTTTCTCCAATCTTCCCAAAACTCTGGATTCTGATAGAGGGCCATGAGACTTAGACCTGAGTGCAAAAATGGAGGCTCTAGCCCCTTCCAGAGCTGAGATATCGAAACTCAAAAATTCGGCCCGAAAAAAAAACGACAGTGGTACCCCTTACGTTTTTTTTTTTGGGCGAAAAATTAAGTTTCTCCAATCTTCCCAAAACTCTGGATTCTGATAGAGGGCCATGAGACTTAGACCTGAGTGCAAAAATGGAGGCTCTAGCCCCTTCCAGAGCTGAGATATCGAAACTCAAAAATTCGGCCCGAAAAAAAAAACGACAGTGGTACCCCTTACGTTTTTTTTTTTTGGGCGAAAAATTAAGTTTCTCCAATCTTCCCAAAACTCTGGATTCTGATAGAGGGCCATGAGACTTAGACCTGAGTGCAAAAATGGAGGCTCTAGCCCCTTCCAGAGCTGAGATATCGAAACTCAAAAATTCGGCCCGAAAAAAAAACGACAGTGGTACCCCTTACGTTTTTTTTTTTGGGCGAAAAATTAAGTTTCTCCAATCTTCCCAAAACTCTGGATTCTGATAGAGGGCCATGAGACTTAGACCTGAGTGCAAAAATGGAGGCTCTAGCCCCTTCCAGAGCTGAGATATCGAAACTCAAAAATTCGGCCCGAAAAAAAAAACGACAGTGGTACCCCTTACGTTTTTTTTTTTTGGGCGAAAAATTAAGTTTCTCCAATCTTCCCAAAACTCTGGATTCTGATAGAGGGCCATGAGACTTAGACCTGAGTGCAAAAATGGAGGCTCTAGCCCCTTCCAGAGCTGAGATATCGAAACTCAAAAATTCGGCCCGAAAAAAAAACGACAGTGGTACCCCTTACGTTTTTTTTTTTTTGGGCGAAAAATTAAGTTTCTCCAATCTTCCCAAAACTCTGGATTCTGATAGAGGGCCATGAGACTTAGACCTGAGTGCAAAAATGGAGGCTCTAGCCCCTTCCAGAGCTGAGATATCGAAACTCAAAAATTCGGCCCGAAAAAAAAAACGACAGTGGTACCCCTTACGTTTTTTTTTTTTGGGCGAAAAATTAAGTTTCTCCAATCTTCCCAAAACTCTGGATTCTGATAGAGGGCCATGAGACTTAGACCTGAGTGCAAAAATGGAGGCTCTAGCCCCTTCCAGAGCTGAGATATCGAAACTCAAAAATTCGGCCCGAAAAAAAAACGACAGTGGTACCCCTTACGTTTTTTTTTTTTGGGCGAAAAATTAAGTTTCTCCAATCTTCCCAAAACTCTGGATTCTGATAGAGGGCCATGAGACTTAGACCTGAGTGCAAAAATGGAGGCTCTAGCCCCTTCCAGAGCTGAGATATCGAAACTCAAAAATTCGGCCCGAAAAAAAAAACGACAGTGGTACCCCTTACGTTTTTTTTTTTTTGGGCGAAAAATTAAGTTTCTCCAATCTTCCCAAAACTCTGGATTCTGATAGAGGGCCATGAGACTTAGACCTGAGTGCAAAAATGGAGGCTCTAGCCCCTTCCAGAGCTGAGATATCGAAACTCAAAAATTCGGCCCGAAAAAAAAAACGACAGTGGTACCCCTTACGTTTTTTTTTTTTTGGGCGAAAAATTAAGTTTCTCCAATCTTCCCAAAACTCTGGATTCTGATAGAGGGCCATGAGACTTAGACCTGAGTGCAAAAATGGAGGCTCTAGCCCCTTCCAGAGCTGAGATATCGAAACTCAAAAATTCGGCCCGAAAAAAAAAACGACAGTGGTACCCCTTACGTTTTTTTTTTTTTGGGCGAAAAATTAAGTTTCTCCAATCTTCCCAAAACTCTGGATTCTGATAGAGGGCCATGAGACTTAAACCTGAGTGCAAAAATGGAGGCTCTAGACCCTTCCAGAGCTGAGATATCGAAACTCAAAAATTGCCGAAAAAAAAAAACGACAGTGGTACCCCTTTCGTTTTTTTTTTTTGGGCGAAAAATTAAGTTTCTCCAATCTTCCCAAAACTCTGGATTCTGATAGAGGGCCATGAGACTTAAACCTGACTGCAAAAATGGAAGCTCTAGACCCTTCCAGAGCTGAGAAATCGAAACTCAAAAATTCGACCCAAAAAAAAAACGACAGTGGTACCCCTTTCGTTTTTTTTTTTTTCGGGCGAAAAATTAAGTTTCTCCAATCTTCCCAAAACTCTGGATTCTGATAGAGGGCCATGAGACTTAAACCTGACTGCAAAAATGGAAGCTCTAGACCCTTCCAGAGCTGAGAAATCGAAACTCAAAAATTCGACCCCAAAAAAAAAATGACAGTGGTACCCCTTACGTTTTTTTTTTTTTTTCAGGTGAAAAAATAAGTTTCTCCAATCTTCTCAAAACTCTGGATTCTGATAGAGGGCCATGAGACTTAAACCTGAGTGCAAAAATGGAGGCTCTAGACCCTTCCAGAGCTGAGATATTGAGATATTTATAATGGCATAACGCCCTAAAAAAAACGACAGGGGTACCCCTTTCGTTTTTTTTTTCGGGCGAAAAATTAAGTTTCTCCAATCTTCCCAAAACTCTGGATTCTGATAGAGGGCCATGAGGCTTAAACCTGCTGAGTGCAAAAATGGAGGCTCGACCCTTCCAGAGCTGAGATATTGAGATATTTATAAAAAAAAAACGAAAGGGGTACCCCTGTCGTTTTTTTTAGGGCGTTATGCCATTATAAATATCTCAATATCTCAGCTCTGGAAGGGTTTAGATCCTCCATTTTTGCACTCAGGTCTAAGTCTCATGGCCCTCTATCAGAATCCAGAGTTTTGGGAAGATTAGAGAAACTTAATTTTTCGCCCGAGAAAAAAAACAAAAACGAAAGGGGTACCACTGTCTTTTTTTTTTGGGTCGAATTTTTGAGTTTCGATTTCTCAGCTCTGGAAGGGTCTAGAGCTTCCATTTTTGCAGTCAGGTTTAAGTCTCATGGCCCTCTATCAGAATCCAGAGTTTTGGGAAGATTGGAGAAACTTAATTTTTCGCCCGAAAAAAAAAACCCGAAAGGGGTACCACTGTCGTTTTTTTTTTTGGGTCGAATTTTTGAGTTTCGATATCTCAGCTGTAGAAGGGTCTAGTGCCTCCATTTTTGCACTCAGGTCTAAGTCTAAGTTATACCACAGAAAACTGTTATTTAAAAACCAATGGCAATCAATTGACATAAAAATTCTTCTTAGATGAACAGCTCTATTGTGCTTTCGTGTTTTACATTCCGTTTTTGAGTTTTCTACTTAATTCTCAGTTGTTTTCGGCCCTTTGACGTATCTCTTTGATAAATGGCTCGAAAGCCTTCGGTTAAAGATGGTTTTGACGAGGAAGCGGTAGGGTTCTTGTTAGCCTTTTACAGTCATGCTGTGTGTGCAGATCTATCCCACAATCCCATGGGAGCAGATGGAACTGATCAGAGCAGAGCTCTCAGGGTCCATGTTTTATTCTGAGTCAGAGAGCCGCCCATGTCTCCAAAGGGCTTGTCTAATATACTGCAGATGCTTCAACAGGAAAAATAGCCTCTAGATGGCCCATCAAAAGAATACATTTCGTATGGATTCATTGAGAGACTCTATGCATGCAGGAAAGAGCTTTGAAAGTGAAATGAATCATGAAAAAAAACCAAAAAAAAAAACCATCCTGCATCCTCTGTGTTCGCAGCATTGCTTTTTTCAGTTTCATTCAGTCAGGAAGCTCAGCCCTTGTTAATGACATTATTTCTTCATTACATGTTGTCATGCACCGCCTTTTCATTTAATTGAATTTCTTATCCTTCCTTTTGAGGACTCTAACCAGAGCCTGTAATATCTTCCTTTCAGCATGGCTACATCGAGGGACAGCCAGACAGAACGGGCTTATTTCCAGCATCGTTTGTCTCTATGCTCACCGAATGAAGCCGGCCAGGACCTGAAATCATAGCACGGTTGACTTTACTGCCAAAGCACCCTGGGAAATGAGGGGCTTGAAGTCTACCCACAGAACCACCGGTAATGAAGAATCAGCATAACAAAGCAGCGCTCACAGCGCCAGGAGAGATGGGAACGAGTTGTGCTGTGGACAAAAATTCTCATAGTTTGTGGTTGTTCAGGTCCATTCCCCATGTACCATCCTAAAACTGCCCCAAAAGCACACACAGCAGGAACCGCATGTCATTTGTTACATTGAACTGAACTCGAATGTGAGTAATCATTCTGTCAGGCCACAGAATTGTATTGAGGAAGTGTGATGTCGAGATTGCTGAGAAATGGAGACAAAAAAAGAATGGCTTTAAAGCACAATTTTCTGTGACTGGGTAACTTGGTAACAACATAATTATTTTAGAAAAGAAAAGAATGAATGATGAAAACCGTGTGCTTGGACAAATAGCACAAAAACACATTCAGGTCATATTTCACCTACATTAAAAAGAAAAAGCTTTTTCTATATACCAAGAATATTTGACATCTTCTCAATGATTTAGCACACTTTCCCCCAAATTGTTAGTTATTTTTAATTCTATTCTAATTTTGAATTATCATTGTTGTCATTTATTGTTCTCTATTATATACTGTACAGTATTTTATTACATAAATGGCGTAAAAATACTACTAGTTTCAATAATAAAATGAATGAAGGTATAAAAAGATAAATATATATATATATATATATATATATATATATATCCCAGAATAAAAAAAAAATAGTTTTAATAAAACATTAATGGTCCTAAAACGTCTTTATTCCAAAGGGAATTTTCTTTTGATTTTGGGTGAAACACCATTGTTTCTGTAACTTCAGATAAAATAATAACAGTTAAGTAAGTGGTTTATTAAAAACAGACCACAGATTAATCACAGGTTACAAAGATGTGCACACACCACACAATTTGGCCATTACAATGGGATCAAACCATCACATTCAACTGGACAGTCTGTACTAACTTCTTAAAGTGCTTTAGAGTAGAGAACTACTTGTGGCAGAAGACATTTTTTGCAAATTATGTCACACCCAGGGAACATTACATCTGCGGTCACATGTTGAGATGCACACAAAACGATAAAAAGTAATTTGGCCACAGCTTTTCTTGACTGTACTGCTCAGACTCCTCCTAGATAATTATTCCACAAGGGAGGTGGAATAAATAGTCAATTTTAATTAAACTATTTCACTACTTGGATCAGAGGATCTTGTATATAGACAGTCATGTATTACAGTACAAGTTGAAAATGTGGTTTCAGAATTTGCTTTTTATTTGTTAAAGAACCTGAATGGAAAACTAGGGTGTTGTGAGATATTTATGTATTGTGTATTTCTTTAAAAAAAAAAAAAAAAAAAAAAAAGCTTGTATGTTTTTCTGTATTTTTATTTATGCAAAATTATCAAATATTTTTGTATTACTGTCCTGGATGCCCTAAACTGTGACTTTTGAATTCAAATAATTTTGTATTGTTTATGCTTTGGTTTTGTTTCTAATTAGATTAAAACTGAATTTGAGTGTTTGTGTATTTTCAGATTTCTTGTGACTCTCCTTTCCATGAAAACTCTGTAAGCTTTGATATCCACTGACTGACATGAAGCAATGCCAAAGCCTAAAATACATTCAAGAACATAAAACCACAGAACAAACACGCGTGTGGTAATACTTGGCAACAAACATCGAAATTACAGCTCAAGTTTCAACCTTGTCACAATCCTTAAATTTCACAATGCAAACTAGCAAAAAAAAAAAAAAAAAACAGAACAAAAATACAGAGATCAATTGTATTTCAGGAGTAAAAGATAATGAATCAAACATGTATGAAAGTACAGCATTTGCTATATCCAGAACTGTACATCACAATACAGGCTGTTGTATGAGTGCTAATGGGTCATTTTAAGGCCACTGAGATTTAAAATACTTTAGGGACGGCTTTGGTCCAAAGCTAAATAATGCTATTAAACACATAACGCACCCATAGGAAACTCCACACTCTCAACTACAATCTAGAATACGGTACTTTCACAGCTCTGTGATATACATCTTCCAGCATGTGTTTTAGGTACAATTAGGTGATTTCATTGGCACTATGGTTAAATTAGAGGTTAGAAGAGTCCTTCAAATATCAATGCAGAAAATGTGTGGTGACTTGAACAATGTCAGTGAAATCTAAAATAACATTTGTGAACGTCTTAATACGCTATAATTTCCTCGAAAATGTGTTTATTGCTTATTCAATCTTTTGAAACGTTATAATCCACAAACTTAAATCTAAAATGCTTTAATCCACTGCAGGTTAAAGGTTAAAGTCAACATGAAATTCAATCATATCTTATGTACTTTAGTTCACCCAGGAATGAATGTTCTTGAATTGTCATTATTTACTCACCCTCATGTCATTCCTAACCACCAGTATGCCTTTTTTTCTTTTTCTGAAGAATAGGGTTTTCAAAACACCAACATTAGTACCAATACCAGTCAAATTTTGTGGTTCTTTGTACCAATTTCAGTACTAGAGTAAAAACTTTTACATTTTTTATAAGTAATTGCCTATTATATGCCTTTTTTTAAAACCTTTGATGCTTAGAGCGCTTGTAAAAACATGAAGGAGAGTGTTTAAAAGCAGCATCTATCAGCAGGTACAGAAAATACCCCATATGCGCTTTACATTTTGCCTCACATAGACTTCGATAACAGCCATGCAAGGCGCTATCCAGCTCGTCGGGAGCAGCAGGGGTTAGGTGTCTTGCTCATGGACACCTCGACACTTGGATTGAACCACTAACCTTTTGGTCTGTTGACAACCTACATGAGCCACTGCCGCCCCCACCGCACCTGTACTACCAGTACATTTGACAACCTACTGCAGAACACAAAAAATATATTTTGAGAAAGTGTTTTTTTTTTAAATTGGGTCTGATGTTATTTGAACCCCAACATTCTCCAAAATATCTTCTTTGGCGTTGTGAAGATGAAAGTGAAATATCCCTTCATACTATTTTAATACTGGTACAATTTATTAATGTGCATTACTTCAATTACTTCATTACTTCGTTTTTTTAAGGCTGACAAACGCTTAAAATTTATTTTTCTGAACATTATAACCTCAACATTTGTTGTTTTACGGAAAACAGCTTCCAGAAGAGAGTACAATGCAAAAGCTTCTCTTGAAAGACATAGCCATTCCCATTTTTTCTGGACAATCTGTTGTGTATTATTATTTGTAGTTGTGTTTTCTATTAACAGTTCCAATTATAAGTGCTACGATGCTGTGATCTAAAGGAAAGCTTTGCCTCTGCCAGCCTGCTATTTAACATTACAGACAGTATTAATGTAGTGGTACGTTAGCTTTTGTAAGCTCTTGCTTTTGTAAGACCGCCCCTTAAACCATAGATTTCCGACAAATATGATTAAACGGTGGGTTATATCGTATCTATAAGAAAATGACACAAAAAAAATATACTACTCTGAAACGAAATCCGTGCTTGCTAAGTCTGTGCTTGAAATCTGTTCTGCACAACATTGTCAGGGTCTGAATCAGGCTCGAAATGCTTCGAAAGTGACGCCATTGTTAATATTTACATCTAAATAGAGCGGGACATTTCCCAAACATGCGCTTAACGCTGCCAGTCACAACGCACTAGGCCAGCCAACCAATCGCAGCACGTTTTGGAAGAAGGGGCTTCATCGAAAATAACGCGTTCAACCAGACTGGGGAGAGAGGAGCAGTAATAATGTAAAATATGTGAAAAATTATGTTTTTTGAACAATCAAGCATGAAAACATATTCTAGTACACGCCCAAAATAAATTCAACACTTCGTAAACGGGCACAATAGGACCTCTTTAACACCCACTTTTCACAATCCAATCAATTACCAATGGTTCAAATCAAACCCGGGTTTTTTTCCCTTCATTGGATATTTTGTTAGGAAAAGTGGGTTGCAAATGCTGCTTCATGTTGACTTTAAGGCTTTAATGCCCTGAAAACTGGCTCTGCAAGTGAATGGAGCTGATGATCAACGTTCACACATTTCTTGCAGTTTAGACAGCTTTGTGGATTATACGCGAAAGAAACCCATTTAACTGTCACAAATTGCACATTTGCAGTGCAGACACCGTGTGAGGATAGTCAGCTTGAATAAAAAAAGAAGTATATAAGGTGGCTTAGACCAAGCAAATTTGCTTACTGTTCATCTTTTTCAACGTTTCAATGGCTGACTGGGGAGGAAGGCAACATCCGTCTTTTTCTTCAGGCACGTAGCGAGTAAAATGCTGTTAGAGAGTTAATTTGGTCTTAGGACTACAGCTTGATGTCTGTGGGTTTGGTTCAGTGCAGTTCACAGTGGTCAATTAATAGTAGGGTGGATCACAGATCTGCGTCTCTTTGGCTTCCTTACGGCTGCAGTGCAAGTCCTGGCCTGGCATTTACATGGCACTGAGCATTACTGAGTCAATGAAGGCCATAATTACAGACTCATGTGTACAGTTTGATTTTGCCCTCTGCACTGAGCTTATGAATGACCTCAGTCTCGAAATCCGCGTTGTGGACCCCAGTCTTTCGAAAGGCACCTGCGTATCTGTTGTTCTCCCAATAGTGGTGCCAGTTTCCTTGCTTGTCTGCCCCATATCCAAACACTGACACCTGTTGAGATTGAACATCATGATTGAAATCATCTAGTGACGCAGAAATGATTATCTTAGCTGTAAATAGAAATACAAACCTCATCACAAAGATGCAAAGCAAATATAATGGCTACTATCCCAGTGGACGGATACCTTCCATGACGCTCTGTCCAGTTGTAATGCGTGTACTTAAAGAAGGCTGGATTCACAACCATCACCTGGTCAGCACACACAGACGGTAAAGTTAGGCTTAACAGATTGATATGTTTATGGATTTACATGCTTTAGCATGATTTACACTCACCTTGTCTTTGTCAGCTTCTATGCGATTTTTCACTCTCATGTATGTCCTGTTTGGGATATACAAAAAATTTAGTCATTTTAGTTCAATTAAAAGCTATGCTGCACAATTTTCAGAATATTTTGAAGTACATTTTGATCTCTCCTGTGGAAAGGGCGCTGGACAACCACTGCATGTCTTTCAATTTGAAAGGAAGAAGGACGAGATGGACACCGGGTCTCAGATCGATCGCACTCTCCGGGTACAGGAAGTGGTGGGTCGTTCGATTACCAACATCCTCTTCATAACCCACAGTTACGGCCTTATTCATTCTGTGGAACGTTCCAGTGGAAATGCATTAGTAAAAAAAAAAAAAAGACGAAAAAAATTATTGCCGACAATAATCTATCTCTTAGACACTTTTAAAGTCATGAACCAGCATTCACATTTTAATTCCTTAATGTGGTTGAAATGTGAAAAGATTTTAGAAGAAAATCTTTTGAAAATGTTCTCAATTATGTTTTGTCTTTACAATGAACATTAAGGGGGTACAAAAACATCTATTTGTGTTGTATTGATTTCATTTTCAGGTGAACTAGATTAATCAGAATTAGAAGTGGATCAAAACATTTCCTCAGTTATACATGAATTTTGAAAAATACCCGTTCTTGTCTTAGGACAGGTTTGATGAACTTTTTTGATCCTCTTCAAATGTTGACTACTGTATTTAGACTAGACACATAAAAAGCAGACAACTCACCTAATAACAGCTGAATGGGAATCTATCAAGGCTCCGTTTTTGGACTTGGACAGATTGCCTGAGTTTCCAACAACTGCACATTTCCGACACTGGTTTTGCCGTGGAATTTCGTCATTAGGTGGAGGGGAAATTATCTTAAACATCTTCTGGGTGACATCCTCAATCGCTCCATCAGATGACTGCAAAGACTGCAAAGCAATATCATTAATAAAAATTATAGAGTGGAACACAAATGTGTTTTTTTTCACAACTAATCTCTACATCTTTAACGTTAAAAAAAAAAAGATGACTTTCCCAGCAATGGTCTTTGGTGTTATTTTATATTTTCTTAACGCATGATTAAAAATGTTGCGAACGTTTCTATGCGCCATGGAAACCCAAGACACTTCAGCAAACCAATTTCAGGCTTATACGAGTGCACTCTTAGTGCCATTGCCTGCAAAGTTCTGAAAGCCTTTAATTAGGCTAAATGAAACCTTACTGAAACACATGGCTATTTGTGCCCTTTTTCCCAAGGGGGAATTACTTTTTTGTTTAAGGAAACCAGATAATGACTCTGGGATCCACAGCCATCACTTAAATGAAGTCTGGCAAACAGATAGGCTGATAGTAAGTGAACTTGAGATGGTCTGGAATGAACACACCAGCTGTTGTCTTTCCCTGACGTGTCCGTGTGCCAGAACAGGGAAATGAAAATGATATCTACAGCTATGACTTCAGAGGCATGCCTGAGAATCGCAAGAGCTATTCTGTCTCTGGCTTAGAAAGACCGACGGCTGTCTAGAGACTAACAAATGAAACAAATGCAACTTTAACTATCCCACTCTTTGCTAAAATTGGAAAACAGATCCTTTTGAGGTAAATCTACACATTTAGAGTTTTTTGCCGAAATGATCACATATTTATCTAATCATCTGGTCTCCCTTCACCCCCAACAGTTAGCTGGTGGCCACACCATTGACTCCCTCTTTATTCAGGGACTCATTATGCCATTTTAGTTTATCAAATGTCTGTGAAACTTGTTCAGTTTACTGTATGTCTCAGTTATTAAAGGGGTGGTATAATGCCCCTTTTCAGAATATGCACACTAAGTTTCTGTTGTTCCCAGAGTGTGTATGCAAAGTTTTAGCTCAAAATCGCCCACAGATCATTTTTTACAGCATGTTAAAATTGTTCATTAAAATTTTTGAGGGTCAGTAAAAACATGTCATTTTGTGTGTGTCCCTTTAAATGTTAATGAGCTGCTTTTCACGGTACAGAGGACGAAGTTTCAAGAGCTTGTGTTTGTGTGTATGTGAGTGTGTATGGATGTTAGCAGCTCCGATTACCTCACAGAGAAGCACAAAATAAAAAATTTTAGAAACTGTTCTGCCTTTTGTGTTTACTGGAGTCTAACAATGATGGAAAGACTTGTGATGAAGAAGTGACAACATACAGACATTTCTGAATGGTTAGTTGATGAATTTATGTTGCTGATGTGGAGTTAACTATCTTCAATTAGCATATTCTATCATGATAATCTATAAAATCGCTCGTGTGAATCGCTCAAAGAATGGCCTTCTCAGCTGCCATAGTTGCAACTTTTGCGTCATCAGAACAGGGTGTTCAACACACCACCGTTTTCGTTTAAAAAAAACGTTTTGGAACTTTTTGTTGGGGCTGAACGCAGCCCAGAACTAATCGAAGGTGAGTTTCACAAAAGGATTGTTAGCTAGATAGCCGCAAGTTCTGTCATTATCAGCGCAGTTCAACGAGTCTGTTTTCTGAAACCATCGTATCAACAGCATCGCAAAGTTGTGTGGTTAAAACAACTGATCTCGACCTGTGGTTACCTGTGGTTTGCTTGACATGTGGACTTAAATCCTTATCTTGAGCAAAATAACCAAGCTGGCATTCAGTACAATCATATCTTTCATTTAGAATATATACAAATTTCATTTACGTTTTTTAGTTTGTCAATAGATTTAAAGCACCATTTTTGAAGAGTGCGCATGTGCGAAACTGTTCTAGCAGGAAAGAAAAAAGGGCCTTTGATTGAATCTAGAAATAAAGCAAAATAACCGATAAAAATGAGAATTAGTACTCAAGATGCCATGTCTGCAATTTATAGCAAAAAATCTGGCATTAATTCGATCTCAAAAGGATTCATTAAAAGAAGTTATTACTCTAACTGTGAGACATCATTAGCCAACATGGTTGAACGAAAAAGTCATGAAAAAGTCTAAACTTTTTAGTTGATTTCTTAAACAATGCATCGTTCTATTGAAGTTAAGCATAAGTATGGGAAACGCACCCCAGTGGAAAATATGTGGAAAAATAATGTGTTTTTAACATAAGGTGTACTTTTGTAGTAGACACCCGTAAAGAAAATCAAGACTTTATAAAAGAGCATATGACCATCCAAATCAAAATAATTTGCTTCTTACCAGCCACCACTTCAGAGAGGGCAGATCTATGTCATCTTGTCTGCCGGTGAGGTAAGGTTTCTGTTTATGATCATAGTGTTGGTCAAACCACTTTGACACACCCATGTCTGCAATACAGGATGTACAGCTACAGGAATGACCTCCTCTTGGCTCAGTGATAGGGTGTAACTGTGTCTGGTTCATGGCTGGTTTCCCAACATTGTGGTGAGAGGGTAAAACTGTGACTGGCACAATTCCGGCCTTCTGAATGGTGTGAGCAGCTATCATTAAAAACAAAATAGCACCAAGCAGAGCACCTAAATACAGTTTTCTTCTCGAAATCATGGCTAAGACAAACTAAACCTTGGGGTCGATTTTCCAGAGGAAAAGATTCAAAGGTACCACCACTGTAACATGCATTCACTTCTGGCTTGGCTTGTTCCTGCCAAATGGATTGTGGCTTTTATGGTGTATGATGAGTTGCTTTACAAAAAAAAAGGCATCTGAGGTGGAAAATGACAGGATCATCCATTATGGCCATGTTCTATCTCTCCATCCTGTCATGAGTTTTTAAAACCAAAGCACAAGGCCTCATGGTGAAACGCGCTAAAAGGAGTCAAACTGCTCCTTAATGTTCAACACAGTGCAGGAAATGAGTCGGAGATGAGGCAGCTTCACTTCCTGTCTGTACAGCTGTAGGCGCCTCTGCTCATGTTTCATTCCACTGCGAAAACCCACCGCTGCCAAAGCTTCTGAAAAACACACAAGAACATCAACATTTTGAGACATTATGTCACGACATGATTCATGGATGAAATTCAGTGAATTGGAAGATTTACTTTACAACGTGGTCTGAATGGTTCCTTCACAAATCAGATTATGTTAATAAACATGCCGAACTGCTGAGTTTTGCAAGAATTGCAGTGACTAACAACTTAAAGTTTAGGCTCTTCCTCACATAAAACCACCAGAAGACTTCAAATATAGCACAGAAGACATACTTTTAAGTTTTTCTGGATCATTTTTTAAGCTACAGTAAACATTTATTGTAATTGCATTTCAATTCTTAAAAAAAAAATAATAATAATTTCGCCACTGTTTTGTTTCCCTTCAAAATCATGTTTTTATGTTCAATCGTGACGAACTGACCAATAAGGAAGAAAGGAAGGACCGTTGTTTGTCTATTTACTCCTCAAAAACACATTGGAAAGCACTCCAAAATAGAACGAGGAAGTTGAAGAAAGGTCACAACTGTTGCCCTCCTGTGACTCCAAAAATGTGGCTGAACCTCCCTCAAACTCTTCACCACATCCACGCTGAACAACTACATAAATAAAGCACCGCTGACTGCGTAGGACCAATCACATCAATGCAGCAAATCCATCTTTAGATTGATGAGGGTCAAACAGCTACTCCCACAATTCCCAGTCTAAAGCCCTGGACTTGATGCATGGTACTTAAATAGCCTACTTGAAGTCCTTAACAAACATCTTTGGAACAGTTGCTTTCCTTTAAAAAAAAAAAAAAAGAAAGAAAAAAAAAAGAAGCTATCCCAGAAACGACAGCCAATGTGACTGCAGAGCAAAGCTGAAATTTGATCCTGTATGCGAAACAGGAAGTCCAGGACTTTCCTCATCTGTTAGGGATCTGTGTCCGGCGGAGCAGGGAGACGCTGGTAATGGAGTGGGGGATGTGAGATCAGCTGACGTTCAGCTGATTCAGAAGAACCGTCTCTCTCTGCCAGACAGCTGTCTCACTACAGTACAGACCAAACAGAATTACATCTCTGGCCAGAGCAGCCAAATCCACCAAGTCAGCAAAGGGAGTCCCACCCCCACCGTTCATTACTCAAAGTGAATTAATCTCAAAAACAACGCAAGAGAGCTTTAAGTAGCCAATCCAGGGCTGATGAATCCAGAATGTTCTCATTCGCATAAGCCGAGAAACAAGCAGTTCATTCAGAACACTAATCAAGACTACAAAATTACAACAACACTAAAAAAGACATATTAGTTTCCATACAAGTGGATTCAGATGTATTAAGCCACAGTAATATTTGCTCTGGGTATGGTACATGGGCAGCCAGTGTTGTGTGAAGTTTTTTTTTTTTTTTTTTTTAAAGATAACAAGGTTTCTCATGTTACCCAAGTTACCATGGCTCATAACAGCTGCCTAATCTGGCTTTGAATGGTCAAAGAACAGACAAAATACAAACACGAAAAGCTAGTTAAAAGACTACTTATTCTGCTGCATCAAAGGAAACACCCTTATTGCACTAATTCATTTGCATACCAATATGTTAAACACCAGAGCCAATGGGATTCTCACATTACTGAAACAAGAGGCTCCTCAATGTCTGCCAAACTATTCAGATTTGATTGCTCATTGAAATGTGCCCTTTACTCAGCAAAAGGGACCCCCTTTTCACAGGACTCCTGTCCAAACTTTCTGTGTGAGCCTTGAGGTACGCTCTGGGTTTGGAAGAGAACCATACAGCAAGCAAATGTTATAGTTAATAAATGCTAACAATGCATTGTGGTCTTTGTTAATGAGTCTTATGAGAACTGAGAACATTAAAGTATTTTAATGAATGGTCTTTACCCCAACACAAGCTGCTTTTAATGCAAAAGTCATAGCAATTCATAATATAATATGATATAATATATTTTTTTTCTTTTTAATGCAAAAATATGAAAACTTTCTGCTATGGTTTATGTACAGTTATCTTATGTATTAATATGTAATGTATATTAAATTGTATATTAATTTTTACAAATATATACTAATAATAATTTTCACAATAAACGATGTGTCACTTTCGTGTTAACGTTGGTTACAGCCAACCTAACAACAACAACAACAACTGCAAAAGTCAACACTGGAAGCAATTACAGCCACTCTGATTTACACAAACTCTTTGAATAAACATGTTGTTCTGTGTTACCAAACAGAGTCTGAAATTTTCCATTTTTGTTTCCCATTCACAGACGAACACCAAGTTATGCAAAAATGAGCAATTACGAAACAGGAATAAAAACTGCAGAGATGCTGATAAAACCCTGCTCTAGTAGATTTGCCTTGGATGCCAACCAGAGCTTTTTAACTTGCAGAGGCGTAAGAGGCTTGTTTTGCTCAGGGCATGATAAAGAGTCAGGCCATGTTAACACTACAGTGAGAGTTTCAAGTGAGAAGTGAAGTGGCCTGCTGAGGGAAGAGTTTGTTTTGGGGTTTCACATTACCTGTTCTCTGCTTACTGTTGTGAAGATGTGTGTGGTGTGGTTTCCTCCACATGAGAAAAAATAAAAAATAAAAATCCCCCACCACCCCCACTAAATCACTCCAAGCATAGCTCACTTATCGGCCTCTCTGATAGCCACCCTCAATTCCTTTCCCATTAGTCAACTCACATGGCTTACCCCTAAAACTAAGCTTAAGAAACAGGAACAGCTACATGTGTACATTTGACTAGAAAAACTGTAAATGTAAAATGTAAAAGAAAACAAAATGTAAAAATACTACAATAAAAACATATTAGATGTCAGTACTCTTATCTTTGCTGTATACAGTAAATTTACTATACTTTAATTGACAATACATGTACACTTTCACATTAAATACTGTAAAATTAAGTTATGGTTAAAGGTTTACTTTTGGCCCTATTGCTCAAAACATTCATTACTAGGCTTAAAGGGATAGTTCACCCCCCAAAAAATGTGTTCTGTCATCTGTCATTTTCTCACCATTTTCTCATCGGTTTCTTTCCTCTGTTGAGCACAAAAGAAGGAATTTTAAAAATTGTTGGTAACCAGACAGTTGATCGTAGCCATAGACTTCCATAGAAGGAAAAAAAAAAACACAGTGGAAGTCAATTGCTACAATTAACTATCTGGTTACCAACATTCTTCAAAATATCTTCTTTTGTGTTCAACAGAAAACAAACTCAGAAATAAACTCATACAGGTCTGAGTGGTAAATGATGACAGATGTTTTCACGTTTGGGTGAACTATCCCTTTAAAGGTTGTTGTTAGAGTATAAATAATATCTGTAAAATTATAAAGCTCAAAGTTCAATGCCAAGCGAGATATTTTATTTAACAGAAGTAGCCTCAAAAAATTGAACTAGGGAGGTTGTGCACTTTACATAATATATTTATATATAGTTTACTTATAATAATTGTGTTTTTTGACTTTAAATGTTTTTTTTTCTATTCTCTGCTTAAATCTACGAACAACTTAAGTTTACTTAATCTGTTTGTGTTGGATTACATGATTGATTTGTGTTGCCTTAACTGAAACTGGTCAGTGCTTTTAGTTCCCAGCATGCTTTGCATATGGTTGAATTAAGAGAGAATAAATGTTAAAATTAAGTGTTATTTTATGTCTTTTTTTGAGAAATTTAGAAAAGGGGAAGACTTGATAGTGTGCAATAGTGTTTAATGTTAAATTACATTGGAATTATTAAACCATTTAAATTACACTGATTTCATTATTTTCAATTTCTTTGAATAAAGGAGCATGTAAATCTTAGCATTCAAGATGCTAATATGTGCTTCTGCTAGCAAATAACTAGCTAAAGTCTATCAATTTAATTATATGTCACTTAGTCCAATGATATATAAATGGATGAATGAATATCATAAATGCCTTTGAATCCTGTCAGGAAGCCTTTACAAATTTGTTGAGACTACTTAAATTGGGTAATTTAAAATGACATAATTCTATTATGTTGAAGTTATGAACAAATTATGTGTGTTTAACGTAAATTAGTTAAGTGGAACCTGTTGACAAATTAAAATTAATTAAACCAACATTTAATTTTTTTTGAGTATCGAACAGCCCGTTTGGACTACATCCCTCTACTTCCTTCTTTAATGACGTCAGTAGAACAGTTTTTTGACTAATGTCCGCCCACAGGGATGCTTCCTCAACTCCTCAACTTATGCACTTCTTATGAATTTTTGTGTTTACTCAGCTCTTACGGTGATTTTCTGAAGTAAAACTGACGCTTCATCTTTTAAACTTTATTAAACTCAGTATTTGTTTGATCATCATTCGGACCTGGTCCGAAACAGCAGACTTGCTAGGCTATTAATAAATAATGGATTCATACAAGCAGATGACAAATATGTTATAATAACTGTAATTAAACTACTAAACTACACATGTTCTATCTCTATACAGCACTCTGACTCTGTAGGCATTATTGTCCGACTCGAAATGAACACCGTTACTGAGAGTTTCTGATATTATCATCATTCCGTGAGATGAAATTGTCCTGCGAGAGTGAGCTCGAGCTCATGAAGCTCCGCCCCCTGTGCCGGCAGCAGCAGCTTATTTGCATTTACAGGGAACAGACTAAAATAGCTTGTTTTTCTGAGCCCCAAAAAATGACAATTTAAACATGCTGTAAAACATGATCGGTTGGGTATTTTGAGCTGAAACTTCACATACACATTCTGGGGACAACAGAGATTTATTTTACATCTTGTGAAAAGGGGCATAATACAGGACCTTTAAGAGATATAAACAGTTTAGATGGAAATAATCTAAAAGACGTTACTTTAACTATGCCCATTAATAGACACGGTTCTTCCTTAAAAATAAAATCAAGCATAGATAAACAACCATAACGAAATTACCCTTCACAATAGATAATGTTTAATAGGCCTAATGGACTCCGTTAGAGAGCAAGATATGGCAATTTATCTGTTCAATAAGAACCTTATATTGAGTACTAAGCGCCATCTTCATGGCGCTTTAACATTACAAATCCCTCAGTTCTTGCAATTTCCAAAAAAGCCTAGCCAATGTTGATTCCAGTTTTATTACGAGCTCCGTCATGTTCTCTTTTTGCCAGCAGACTCTAATCTCTTCACAGTTTTTTAAAAACGGGTGATTCCCTGGAGGTTCGATATTTAGGTGCTCCATGTCAACCTTTCTCGTGACAACTAACCTACGCCACTCACTCACACGCCATACACGCGTCAAAATAGCCAGAGCAAAAATGTCTCTATTTAAGACTACGAAAAGACACGCATAGGTTAGTGACGTACATATAGGCTATGTATGCAAATTCCTGCAAAAACCATCCCAACCATCTAAAATATAAACACTCATAATTGGCTTTTAGAAGGAGGGTTGATGTATTGATTTACATTTTTGTTAAAAAGTTATTATTTAATTTAAAAAATGTTATTTACTTTAAGTTAATTCAATGAAAATGGACATTCCCAGAATTCCCTGCAAGAACCATCAGTTGTAAAATGTAAACAATGTTTGAATATTTTATGTAGGCTACATTGGAACATTGTTTTATGTTGCACAATATAATTTAATGACACAGTTAAGAACTCTAAAATATTCGGTCACCAACATGTTTAGTAGGCCTACACAATTACTGTATTCTTACAATAATGTACAGTTTGTTTTACTGTAAACATTTACAGTAGCCCATACCCACACTGCTGTGCCGCAGGTTAATAATTTCACATTAAATTAGATTAGTAAACATATCTGGTAAAGAATAAAACCACGTAGTTTAATCTAAACAACTGGTGCATTTAGTCACTCGCGTCACTCGCGCACATTAAACGCTTGAACGCCGATTACATGAAAAAAAAAAAAAAAAAAAAAAAAAAAAAAACTAAGGAAGCTTACGTTCTTTTGAGATCTGGTTTAGCTACATCCAACCGAAAACGTTACAAGTAGCAATCTTATAACGGACAATTTAGGATAGCCTAAAGTTTAACAAACATGTAGGATAGGTTATCAAAGAGTCAAACCGTTCGAACTGTTTCCACTTTAAGTTCAGCTCAAGTTTAATCTTCGAGGTGAAAACTCGTGCATTCGTGTTCAACTCGAAATCAATATTGTAACGGTAACCTGTTGTTTAGTAGTAAAATGGTTGGTTAAAAAATAAGTAGATCGAAGAAAAATAACACGTTTTGAGAAGGCAGTTCTGTTTAACTCCGTTAACTCTGAGACCGCTTTCTCTCATCATAATCTATCACGTAGCCTATATTTAAATCGGGCTTGATAAAGTTTAAACAGGTTTTAGCTTAATGTCACATGCTGTCGTCTAGAAAGCGGCATAAGTTTAGGCTACTTACCCCTTGTTCTCAGCTCGAATGTGGGGAAACTACTCGCAGAACTACGTCTTGCTTGGACTGAGGAGAAATGATGTCAAGCTCTACGTCCTGCCTGCTGCCTGCTGTCTGTCTATGTGTGTGTGTGTGTGTGTGTGTGTGTGTGTGGACCTGGTAAACGTTGTGGGGACCAATACTCAAATCAATAATAGGCTATGTATCAATACTCAAAACTATGATCAGCAATGCATCGATGGGACCTTTATAAGTATAGCAGCCAAGCGACCAAAACGACACAAAGGTTAGTATTCTACATGAAATTTTAGGCTATACTCTTTGTTAAAAGATTCCTAATTATTTCAATTATTTCATGATTTCTAGTATTTGTACAGACTTTACATTTGATTTAAATGTTGTAATTAGAAATGCATTTAATTTTACTTGAAGTTACGTGAAGGTGACAGCATTAATTAAAGTTTCTTAATGGGATAGTTCACCCCAAAAAGTAAAATTGTGTCATTACTATACTTACTCACCCTCAAGTTGTTCCAAAACTTGAATGAGTCTTTTGTAAAAACTGGTTTTTACACCAGTTTGGTAACCAGTTGACGGCACCCATTGACTTCCATTTTATTTTATTTTTTCTTGTATGAAAGTCAATTGCTACCATCAACTGTATTCTTTAATATATATATATATATATATATATATATATATATATATATATATATTGTGTTCAACAACAGAAACTCATACAGTTTTTATATATATATTGTGTTCAACAACAGAAACTCATACAGTTTTTATAAACACAGCCTACTGTCCCAAAGCCCTGATGAACCAAGTTTGTTATAAAAATGTATTACTTGCTACAATTAATTAGTTTAAGTTTGTTGTTAAATCCACTATTTTATATAGAATTAGTCTATAGTCTAAAATGCAATTACATCAGAAGAAAATGAAAAAATAAGTGTAATCATTTTCTCTACCTTTTCAAGGAAAAGTTTCACTTTTAAAATTAAGTTAAATGAAATAATGCATTAATAAATGAATACTTAGTTTTGCATTACACCCAACACGGATTGGATTTGGATGGAATCCCGTCAGAAATATCAAATTCAGCCCCAGACGCCAGATCTTGTCAAAGGATATTTATTTTGTCTAGTCTGCAAACCAGCATAACCTGTCGACAGAAAGTCTTGTCTGGTACCTCAATACTCTATTAAGAGCCTTCTATCACCCTGAGAGTTTGACTGAGAAAGCCAAAGAAAAGAGCAGAAGCAGGAGACGAAGTGATGATAATAAAAATATGTTTATAACATCATTTGTGTGTCTCAATGCTCAGACTTCATCTGGCCATGTATAGTTCCAACAAGTGTTATTATACCAAGAGCAAAACAATGGAAAATTACTGCGTCACAACATCGTCCTGTGAAGTTAAAAACCTTGAAATGACGTTTTCTTATTGTCTCCTAAGATAAACATCCCTTTAAACCACGCAATCAGAAGATTTAAACAACAATAGAAAATAAATGATATGTAATATAATAACTTGAATTACATAAATGCATAGCAATCAATAAGTGATAAATGATGTAAATCTAATAATAATAACACTATGAATAAAATGAAGGAAAGAAAATGTGAAAAAAATAACTGGTGCTTTGAAAAAAAACACACACCTACACACCGTAGGTGTCAGTATGAAGCCCTCTTATTCATGGGATTAATAAAAGCCAGATAGACGTGTGCAAATTGTACGTAGATTTAATATAATATCCATTTAAACCTATAGACCATTTCACAAGATGTAAACAACACTGGTCCAGAAGCACTTCCTGTTTCAGTTTTTTAACACTACATAAAAGCTGGGATAAAATACAACCAACAGAACATTTAAAACTGAATCAAAAAGTTAAACAAACATCTTTAAGATGTTTTCTTTACATGTGAAATAAAGAAAACAGTTACAAACTGAAACAGGAAGTGCTTCTGGACCAGTGTTGTTTACATCTTGTGAAATGGTCTATAGCCAATGCAATGCTCAAAACAATGTGTGAGGCCTTATATTTATTTCTAATGTTATGCTCAAGAAATAAAGTACATTTCCTCCACACATTGATCCACATTGTGATGTAGGCAGGGCTTGTGCAAATGGAGCTACGGGAAATGTTGAGATGTAAATCAAATATTAGGGAAAAACATAAAAATTTTATAATGCTTATCTGCACATTTGGCATCCATCCTGTGTCTGGTTTGTGTGGTTCTCTAGCAGTTCTTGACAGGCCACTGAGGCTGTTCAGACTCAAAATAAATTAGTTTGACATTAATTGACATTAATAGCCATTGTTTGTGTCACAATCATTTAAAATAAAAGAACAGAGAGAGAAGGTAAATGTCATCCCTTATGAGGGCAAGTGGAAAGAAGCACTTTATTGCACAAATGGAAAGGTTAAAACAGTGATAAGAATGGAAGGGATCCATTTTGTCAATCTCTGAGACAGCAGTGACTAAATTTTGCAGAAGACTGCAGGACAGACCTAAGATAAGAGTAAAAGCAACAGTTTATGTGCCCATCAGATAAAGTAATTTACAATGCCCGTATTTGTATATATGAAGAGTTCAGATGCAAAAGCCTCTAAATGCCATTTGAAATTTTCTTCTTTAATGATGATTTTTATCAAACTTGTATATTTAAGTTCAGTTATTTCACTTAAATAACAATTAATAGGTAATTATCATTGCCATTTAAGTGAAATCACTGAACTTAAATATAAGCTTGATAAAAATTATCATTCTAGAAGAAAATTTCAAATGGCACTTAGAGGCTTTTGCATCTGAACTCTTCATATATATAAAAACAACAACTAAAAAAAGTTGCTAGATTATGTTTGCATGTGATTTCATTAAACCCAATTCGATCTTTTCTTGTAAATCTTTAGCACATACCTCAATAGGAAAATAAGATTTTTTTTTTTATTTTATTTTTTTTAAATCTTATGAACTTTAGAGTGATGAATGAATGACCGTCTTATGATGTTGATGTCTTGGCACGGAGTAATTCACAATATGGTTTGAATTAAAACTAGCATGTTTGTGTCCATACAAATATGTAAGCATGTATTGTTATTTTCTGTTCATGTGGGACTTTTAATAAGTACGTCACATAGTTGTTTAACAGACTTCTAACTTTGGCCCTGAATTCAATGTAAACACCCAGGACACACTGAAATTTGGACATTTGGCAAACAAACAGCATTTCTGTTGAATTTTTAGTTAATGTCATTCTGATCTTGTTTATTTTGTTGTTAATATAGACGTTCAAGAACATTGCAGACGTTGCTGAAAAGTTAATTTGCCACATTATTTCTTTATTTTACTCTAAATAAAGGAAAATAAACAGGAAGCCAAATGAAATTTTATCTAAATTAAATTAAGGTAAAGATGATTTATAGAAAAATGGAAACCTGAATGGATAGACAGATATAGTGTCCACAATCAGCAGTGGAAAATTGGGAACAACTGTTACTGTGTTCTGCTCAAACGTGTTTTATCAAGATTTGCAATGTTGATAACTGTGGAAACGCATCATCACGGTCTGTGAAAAGGGTCCTTTGCATCTGTGATTCAACTCTAGCCACGGTTTTGTACGTACTTAGTTTGTATAGCATAATGTCATTGTCTTCTTCAGTAATGTCAGTTACACAAGATATTGATATCCCACAAGAAATGTGAAAAGGGTCCAGAGTTGAATCATAGTTATAGTTATAGTGTTTACACAGCTATTCAATCTTAACAAACAGGGGCAGACAGCACAGAGTTGCTGATGCAGGACTAGATTCTGCTGTTTTCTTTAAGCTTTGGTAATGATTGCAAAAGCTGTTTGGCCATGGACCTGCAATTGAAGGACACTATGATAAGCAGCTGCGGAAATAACCAACAGATGTAAGATACAAGCAAGCCATTTTCTTTTTAACTCATCCAAACATGTTATGTTACTTATTGCCCAAGTTAGAGGGGAATTTGTATGTGCATGCCCTGAAACACGTAGAAACAATAGCGTATATCCATTATCAAATGTAAACATGAAAAAGCTAAAATGGAAATATCATGCATCCTGTTAGTGCAGCTTCAGGTGAGGTCTTAAATGTTATATATAGCCAGTAAGGAATCCACTTTTTTTATTAGTCAAGAATTTGACATGAAACAGAGAATCATTAGTGACGCTTTCACGTTGTAAAATGTAGATATCTGGGAGCAGAGCCATACTCCCTCAGGAGAAAAACACTTTATAAAAGCGAGCTTTGTGTGCACTTTCAGTTTTGAACACCTCCTGGTCCTCTTCATTATCTCCTAGTTGTCAGGTAGTAAATACTTTTACTTCACATTGTGAGACATTTAACTCTTAGATTCCCTCTAAAATAATGTTAAGAAGTTGATATGAGTTTTCTGCAGACACACATTGTCTGATTTTTAGCAAACAAAGGCCAAACTACAACTCTATTATGACAAATCCAACGTGAACATTTTCAAACTGTGTATGAATCCCTGTCTCTTACTCATGTAACTGGACACCAGCCATTGCCCAATAGGGGTTGTCTCGTCTTGTCTCTGACTACTGACGGGTGAGGAAATATGATCCAGTCACTATAACACAGCAAAGTATAGTTCAAACCCTTTAAAACACAACACAGTTTTTCCTCTTTTCTTCTTTCCAGGATATAATGTATTGGCTCCAGAGGTGGACAAAGTACATAACTTCCTTACTTGAGTGACAGTACAGATACTACTGGTCAAATAATACTCTGTTTACAAGTAGTAAAGACTGGTTTTTACTTAAGTAAAAGTACAGGAGCAGGCTACTTGTTTTTAAAAGTATTTATATCAAAAGTAAAAAGTAAATGTCAATGCATTGTTTTATTGTTGTATGTAGTACCTTTTGCCTCTGAATCTTTCTGCACCTACCCTCATATCAATATCAATATCAAATTTACTTCTAGAACACAGTTCCAGTAGTGGGATTGAATGTGACATTGAATAAATGCACTCAATAACGTGCACAATGGCTGTTCCCTCAAACAGTGTCCTATTTAAATGTTTTGGCTTTTAGTGTGCATATGTTCCATACTGTTATCTATAAGCTAGTGTGCTCCAAAACAATGATACAATTTGTATTTAGAAGACCGAACCCAATGTTGAAAATGAAAAACAGGTTGACATCAGAATCTAACACTTTATTGAAAATTAAAATCTGGTTGATGTCAGAAACCAACATCAGTCTGGTTCTACTATCTACAGGACCTTTGCAGAATTGTAGTCGAGTAAATAGTATGATATTTGTCTTTCAAATGTTGTGAAGTTAAAGTAAAAAGTTTTCAGAAAACATCTAGATCTACTTTGTTACTGTCCACCTCTGCTTGGCTCTTCTAATAGATAAGTGAATGAATAAATTAGCACATTTTAATTTGTAACACTCTAGGCTACTATTAAATTTAACAGCTCTTTATGATGGTTTTCACAGCTGCTTATTTTCTCACATGGCCCTGTTTTGCTTTCCGGTTGTGTGTGTGAAATACAACTATGAAGCATGTGCAGTTTCTAGCTCTTTTTTTGATGGTTGTAGAACACACTCACAATGAGGTTTTGTAAACCACCATGAGGAAAAAAAATGGTCACAAACTGTTAGATTACCTAATTCAGTTTTAATAAATAGATAGTACAAATAAAACCAAAGTTGATTGTATAATCAGATCAAGTGAAAATACTGCCAACTTTGTGTTTTACTTTGTTACTCCATCACATAGTCGTTCTATGATATTTGCTTTAAATACCAAATGTGAGGCGCCATGCACCCTCTCCGTCATGCATGTAGCTGCACATATGGAACGAGTCAAAATTTCCATGTGTATGCTAAGAGTAGAGCTGACCTAGCAGCAGTTATTAAGCGGAAAACCTGAGGCAAAGTTTGGAAAGGAAGTAAATGACCTCATAAATCCAGTGCCTGTCCACAGCGCACTTATCAGACCATACCTGTACCATCTTTACAGTGGTTGATAAGCAACCTCATTTCCGTTTGTTCCTATCCTCAAATCAGTCCAATTAAACATTTATTTTTTCTCATCAGTCAGTAATAGGCTATAACTTTCAGCATGCTAACTTTTTTTAAGCATGTCTAGACAAAATTGAACCACAGGGGGTTCAGTAAACATTCAAGCCAAACAAGTCTGTCATTGAACTGCTTTTTACAGACTTGTACAGTTTTAGTACAGTGGGCTAGTTTAAAAAAGTTTACTTTTATTTAGCCCACTCTGTTGTTGTTTTTTTACCCACTTATGGAAACTACAGTCCCTTTTAATATAAAATAGCAAACATATGTTCAAATTATCAAAGACTGTTGAAGTTCCTAGAAATTCAGATGAAGAAACTGCCACTGTTTTGTTTGTTTGTTTGTTTTCCAGCTAGACATTATCGTGGAAAACATTCTCTTAGCAAAGAAATAAGTACATAAATAAAAAAAACAGGCATGTTCAAGTTAACCTCAAAATATTTGTATAATAATAGATCTAAAAGCACTAAGTGGCCTGCTTTCCTCCAATCCAGCGGGTGGCAGTAACGTATAACCGATCGTTCACATACTACATATTTCTACTTCCGGAGTTTGCAGCATCAATCATAGCAACGAAAACACTACTGACTTACCTTCACAATGGCAAGTATATTTTACCATTTATAGTTGATCAAATGGTACTATAATCGAAAGTTCATGTTTGTTACCTTGTCATTGTCTCGGTTAAGGTTTTTGTGGGCTAACATTGAATGCAGGGCGTTGTCATTTACGAGATGGCCCGTATAGTAGCCAACTACTTCTCGAGTAAATAGAAAGAAAAAAAAATGGCAAAAATACGTTGTTGTTTTTTCAAGAGACTCATTTAGCGATTTCACAGTGCGACTGTTCCGAAGGATATCAAGTTATGACATAAAGCTGGTTTTACTGTTAATTAGGCTGTTTTAATCCATAAAGCGTTTATGTTGCAGGCTGAGGTGGAAGAGACGATGAAAAGGCTCCAGAATCAGAAAGGAGTACAAGGAATCATCATTGTTAATGCAGAAGGTATCTTGAAATGTTGCAGCTGTTATGCATATTTTAGTTTGGTTGTCATCATGTGCTTCAGCAGGGAACTGTTTAAACAAAGAGATCGTTGTTGTTGTATCTGCAGTTTCCCCTATGTGCTCTCTTTTATTAGGCATCCCCATTAAAAGCACCCTTGACAACGCAAGCACAGTCCAGTATGCTGGTAATATCCACCAGTTGCTCATGAAAGCTCGGGGAATAGTAAGGGACATCGACCCTCAAAATGATCTCACCTTTCTTAGAATTCGATCAAAGAAGAATGAGATCATGATTGCCCCAGGTAATAAAAAGTGCACTTGTGCAATGCTGCTTAGTGCAGTGGTTCTCAAACAGGGGGCCTCAGCAAACCTCCATTATTATATCATAATAATTATTACCATCATAAATAATATTAGGTGTCGTCAACTACTATTTTCTTACATCTAAAAATAAGTAGAATGCACTTATTGTGTTCATTGTATTGCAAAAGACTTGCTGCTATCGAGGTGGTGTACGGGTAAGGTTAGGGACAGGTTTTGGGGTATGAGTAGGTTTAAGGGAAGAGTCAACAGTGTAATTACAGAAATTAATCACAGCTGTCATTAAATGCAGGGATTTTTAAAAAGATAAGTGCAATGTAAAAAAAAACCTGTATGTACACAATACGTTCATTGTATCAAATGAATAATTTTAATGTTAGTTCATAGTTGTTAAAGACACCTAATATAAAGTGGGACCATAGTCATTATTATTATATTAAAACAATCTAACAACGATCAGGGGTGATCATTTTGTAAATAAAATATGAGGGTTGAATATGTCTTAATGTTGTATTTTTGCTGCCTGTCTGCACAAAGCCAAATATGTTTCTGGTATTTATCTGATATCGATTGATGAATATGATCAAACATTAATAATGTAATTTTCTTTATTCTGTTCTCTTTACAGACAAGGACTATTTCCTGATCGTCATTCAAAATCCTACAGAGTAGTCCTGAATTCTTCATAGTTGTATTGCCATAGTATTTTTTTCTCTAAATAACGGCCAAAAGTGTTTCATTTCATACGTTCCAGTTAAGTGAAGTTAATGTAGTAAAACAGTTACTTTAAAGGAAGATGCATCCATCTTATTATAAATATTAGGTTTGTACTGATCTTGCTTATAATTCCAATCATTTGCCTTTTTTTCTGTAATTTATTGTGCTCTCATATTCTCTCTTTTGCAAGTACTCCAGCTGTTCATCATCTATACGCATTAACATGACATGATGCCATACTGTACTTGTTTGTCTATGCTAATAAAACAACAATGCTTGACCTTTTATTTATTCGTTGGCTTTGTATTGTCATATGAAATGGAAAGCATGCTCTGCTGTTTGCCATAATTCACAACATATTTAGATTTATAGACATTTGGTTGTACATATGTAGACTGTAAAAAAAACTTAATTACACAGATTATATGGGTTTACTAAAATACAATATAGCCATAGAATGTAAATTTACATGATTAGCAACGAAACTTTGTATCTATATTGTTATTGTAGGTGTATACTTAAACTGGGTCCTGTCCCTTTAAATCCTGCTATGACATCACGAACTTTAGTACATTGTCTCGAGCTGTTTTGCTTGCAGTGAGTCAGGAGCTCGAAAAGAAGCGAAGTCGACCGAGAATTCAACATATAATAGCAAATTTTTTTACCACATTCAAGTCCAGTTATGCCATCTGACAGACCCTTCAAACAGAGACGGAGCTTTGGTAAGATGAGCTTTATTCTCGCTGTGTCAGCACATGCGTGTTTGTTTATCAGGTTTGTTTTCGTCACTAGCCTGCTAGCAGCTTTGTGACACAGTGTTTGCGATTTTTCTATAAAGCTTTAAATGATTATGAAACGATTTTAGAGACAGTTAGAGATTAATATAAGTTTAAACGACGGGTTTTAACCAAACCGACCGAGGTCAGTCGCTATCCAGAGGTAGCCTGACTCGAAGGCCTCCTGTTTAAAGAACAACAACAGCTTTAATCCACTGTAATTCAGATGATTTGTTAAAGATTTATATTGCTGCGTTGTGCCTTACCACATTTAAACTCCCATCTAGCTTTCAGGAAGATACAACTTTAAAAATAACATGTATTATTCAATTTTTTTTCATACTGATTACTAGTATGATTGTCTTTACAAGTGATATTAAATTAAAGAAGTAGCATATTTATGAATATAAATTGTGTTTAACAACAACATTAAAGAATGGATGGACATTACTCGTGTTGGTGAAATGATGCTGTAATTTGAGCTTTTTCTCATAGTCCAGACTGAGGACGGGGAGGGAGGAGCATAAAACCCTTGCATAATCTTTCTAAACATAACAAACAACATAGATCTGCTGTTTTAAACACATCTGTAAGTGCCAGGGTCAATATGTTCTGCGGACGCTCTCATATTTGTCCAGCTTTTGGGATTATGTAATTGACATGAATGACCCTGACATGGGATCAGTTAAAGGGATAGTTGACCCAAAAATGAAAATTCTGCCTTTAATCCCTCACCCTCTTGTCATTCCAAACCCGTAAGACTTTCGTTCATCTCCAGAACACAAATGAAGATCTGTTTGATGAAATCTGAAAACTTTAATTCTGTCCCTCCGTTGACAGCTACACAACTTTTTGAAGTGTCAAAGTGGTTATTGCGTAGCTGTCAATGGAGGGACTGGAATCGCATTCTGGTGTCACCATTGTCCTGTGCATTTAGTTACCAGCATCAAGTCCAAGCCTATTCATTTACACTCACAACGTAATATCAAATTTAGGATTTTAATCAACAGTACATTTTTTTTTAAACCTCCTTTTATTGCATATCTTGGAGTATTGCAATAAATATTGTTTTGTGAGTTCAGTCTCGTGATATGAATCAAATTGGGACATGAGGGTACTTTTACACCGTTAGTAACAACACATCAGAAATGATCAATTCCTACTAGTTTCCTGTGCAAAAGGAATGCTAATTTCCAGTTTCTGCTAAATTGGTTTTCCATAAGTAAATGCTACTTATTATTGTCCATTATCCATTATTAAATCTTAGTTTTATTCTTTTTGTTTTTCAGCTGATCGTTGCAAGGAAGTGCAGCAGATACGAGAGCAGCATCCCAATAAAATTCCAGTGAGAAACTCTTTCATCTTTTGAATGTGTCATAAATGAATTAGGACTGAGTGAAGAAGAGCCTTATTGCTTTCAATATATCACTTTTGCATTTCAATGTGAGATTTATTTTAAGATGCCAAGATTTATTACTCTACACTAGTGGTTTTAACTTATAAATGACTTATAAATGACTTATAAATTTTTTTTTGGGGGGGTGGAAGAAAAAAAGGTTGAGAACCACTGTTCTAGACTTATTTCAAGAGTAGACTATGTCAAAACACTATATCAATCTTGTCTTGTTAATATTTTTCCTTACAGGTGATCATTGAGAGATATAAGGGGGAAAAGCAACTTCCTGTCTTGGACAAGACCAAGTTCCTTGTCCCTGACCATGTTAATATGAGTGAGCTGGTAAAGATAATCAGGTAAACATAATATCCAGAATCACTTGTTAAATTTTCTTTAAACCGGGTTGTTGAGTGTACATTCTTGCCTGACTGTGAGTTGGTATCACATACACTGAGAGTATTTTTGACCATGTACAAATCACTTTGAGCCATGAGTCCCGTGTATTTCAGCCTCATCCGGTTTGTTTACTCGTCTGGTGGGGTTTTAAAGCAGGGTGGGGGAGGAAAATGAAATGGTGTGCCAATTTTTAGTATCAGCTGTGCTCATCTTCCACAAGGGAACTTCTACGACCACTTTTAAACTGTTCAAACTTCAAAACATTGCACAACACCCACAATTATTTTCCTATATCCGTTGTGTTGTATTCTTTTTTTAAAACAAGACCCTATTGAGCTAAACTTCCTCTAAAGATAAGCTTGCTGCTCAGTGTTGCCTTCCAGGTATTCTAACACAGGCTCAGTCAGATGATCAGACCATTTTGTGAACATTTTGTCAGACCCACGCTGCCGATCATACTTCATAATCCTTGGCTACGATTCATGAATGATTTATTTATAGTTCAGACTTGAAATAATGATTAAGTTATAAAGGGTTCCCACTTGTCCTGGAAAACCTGGATAATTGATGACAAACTTTCCAGTCATGGAAAATTAGAGAAAGTGTAAAATATCCTAGAAATTTTTTTTTTTAATTAGGTTTTTATTGAGGCGAGAACAAAGAGTTTTTCGCTTGCAAAAAAACTATGTTAAAAGTTAGTTGCAGAAAGTACAATGTTCTGGAATGCTGAGTTTTTAGCATTTTAAATGATGATGTTTAGTCTTGTGTTGCCCCTTGCAGCAGTGAATGCAGCAAATGTTAAATGGTAAGCAGCTACCCAATTCAGTATCTTGCTAACTAATAATTTTAATGTGATTAAAAGGTCAATTAGATATTAATTGTCCTCTGTATCAAGCTTCATTGATAATAACGGGAGTTTTCCCAACAGTGCTAAACTCTGTGAGCTAGCGCTGCAGTGATTAAAAAAGGAACGCTCTTTGTTTGCTATCTGTATATAACCCATTCACAGTTTGAAAAAAGTTGTATTTTTTATGCTGCTATGTATATACACACTGCAAAGTTTTTGGGAATGACTAATTTATTTAAACGCGGGATTGAATCCAAAATTTTATTGATTGACATGGTGATAAACAGCATTGGATGGAACAAAAAATTCTGATGTCAAAATGTATGTGTGCATTAAGTGTAAATGCTCGTCCACACGAAGATGCGTTTAGCTGTATACGTAAAAACTTTGTATCTTATCAGTGTTTCGATACAAACAGTTTTGGGATTCTAAAACGCTGGATAAAAACAAAAAAGTAAGTAATTGGACACAGGACTAAGACTAAATAGTAATAAAAATTGCTGACAAAATGCATGACACTAACACTAGTAGAAAGGCAATCTGCATCTGCTAGACTACAAGGTAGTGGAGGGGTCTACAGTTAAATGCATGTTATACTACTTTAATTTAGAGTGTGTGCCACAGACTATTGAGAATATTGAGCTGAAGCTTGACTTTACAAAATTTTATTGCAAATCAAATCGCAATTGCAATATCTGTCAGAAAAAGTCCATAAGCTTCCATAATGTATGATTAAGAGCTCATATTAAAAAAAAGATTTTATAGTTAAGTCATGGCTATAAACTGTACACCTTTTAAAAATTTAGAGAGCAATATATTACTTTAGGGTGTGATCCTGTAAAATTAATATGTCCTGATGAAGACCTGGAAAATGATTGCTGAAAAAGACTGGGAACCCTGACATTTCTGCTGCTCTAGCATCACATTGTATGTGGCTACTAATGAAATGAAAAAAATACATGGATATGAATTCTATACATTTTCTGGGTTGAAGTCGTCATGAAACGGAAGTTACAATAGTCTTTTCTTCCCCAATGTGACGTTTATCCGAGTGATACGGTTTCTCGAACAAGAAAAAAAAATAGAAAATTGGATGGATTGCTGTGATCTCATGTGAGTGACAGGTTGTCCCGCCCTCGTGCCAGTAAACACGTCATTGTTGCAAGAGGGAGGGGGAAGGCAAGTCATTTTGATGATAGATTACAAGGGCACATAATAAAATAAAAAAAAACTGTTAATTTAATAAATAAATGCCTCAGTATCACATGAAAAAACAAACAAACTAAGAATTATGTACATTTTGAATTCATGGTGATTTTAAGCAGAATTTTGTGGTAAAATATTGATCAAACCTCAATATTGATCAAACTTTTCAACTCAATCAAGTTTATTATTATTACTTTTTAACCTTGAGTATCACTGAGAAGTTAAAAGCTGTTTAAATCAAGTTATATCAAGTTAAATCAAATCATTATATACTAAAATCATGGTATCAATGCTTACACCTTGTGGTTATACTATTGAAGCATTGAGCATTTTAATGTTTACATATTGGCCCAATTCACTATCTTTTTATTTTTGTGGTAATCAATAGTATGCCACAAATGCTGTGGATTGAGCTTAATTTAGCTTAGTTTATCTTAACCAAACCCAGACTTGAATGTGCCCTAAATTATTACATGATTAACTAAATGTATTTGTCCATGTACATTTCTGAAATGCACTTTCTGTAAAGCTGCTTTGAAACAATATGTATTGTGAAAAGCGCTATACAAATACATTTGAATTGAATTGTGCATGTTTTTGTCATTATAATCAGTTATCAAAACGACTCTCTTTTACAGGCGTAGACTGCAGCTCAACCCCACCCAGGCCTTTTTCCTTCTTGTCAATCAGCACAGCATGGTCAGTGTGTCCACCCCTATTTCTGAGATCTACGAACGAGAGCGAGATGAAGATGGCTTCCTCTACATGGTTTACGCCTCCCAAGAGACCTTTGGTTGCTAAGCATGCGTCTTGACCTTTGAGGGAGGAACAGCAGAGGGAAGGAGAGACACAAACAGGAAGCATCCTAATGTACCCGTTCTTTCTCTCTCTCCATCATCACTGCTCCTCCCTTGCTGGTATGAAACAAAATAAAACCGTTGATTCTAGTCTATGACACTACAGTGCAAAACACAGCGTTACTGTAAACACTATTCTGACCCAATTTCAAACTTGGTTGTTTTCCTTTATTAGCTCAGCGTAGGTATTACACTGTTTATACTTTGTATTTGGCCCTAGTAGTTTTTTTTTCCCTTGAGTTTTATTACTTTTAGGCCGTTATGTCCAATAATTAGTAACACATGTTGCTGTAAATAGGTGAGAGTGTGTTTTTTTTTTTTTTAATTTGTTTTAGGATTAATTTGCTTTTGCTTTTTGTTTGCTCGTAGTAATCGTCTGTAGTAGTTACCAGACCTTAGTGGTGCTGGTGTAAGGTTGTAAAATCTTACTTCAGAATTAAGTGCTAATTTAAACCAAGTGATTAATCAAGATGCAGCGTAGTTCTCATCAAATTTACTGTCAGACCCATTCTGTGGTTCTCAAATCAAAACTGTTAGGAGACCAATGGCTCCAAACTGGTGTAATTATAGTTATTTAAATTATCAGAGGGTTTCTGAAGCCTTTGAGTCTGTTTATTTCTGGGCTCCTGTGTAAAAAATAACTACTCATTCACTCATTGTAGAATAAAGGTATCGAAGTCAAAAGCCACATTGATCTGTACTGTACACATGTGAGCCTGAAGAACATCTTTTGGCATACAGTATTCTGCAGTCAGCCTCACATAATCTTTAGAATAAAATGCTTTTTTTGCACAATTAAAACATCCGAGAGGACAACTTATTAGAAGTTCAACAATTATAGCACACAATTATATTCTCCTTTATACTTTTTTTTTCCTCCTGTCACCATACGAGCTGTTTGCCTTGTGTTAAATCTCAGATGAAGGGATTGTGATGCCCTACATTGCATGTTTTTTTTCAAACTTTTTTTTATTGATTTATGCTATAGATTTGTTAATTATTTCAGCTTTATTTAAAGCTAAAAAACTTTTTAGATGTTTTGAAACCAAAAAAAAAAAAACTGAAATATGTATATGTATGTTTGAATTGTTTGAAAAACAAGTGCGTGTATAAATCATTGTACGAAATGATTGTGATGTGTTATGTTTTTAATTTCTTGACCATATATGCACTGATGATATATTGTCTAGTACCTTATGTGAAACTCATGAAGTTTATCTATAAAAAAAAAAAAATCAGGATATTTCCTTCAGTACACATTTGACAAACTGGAGCTTAACAAAAAAGCATCACATATTTGTTTGATGGGAGAGAGTGTCTGTGCCCATCATACAAATATGTGATGCTTTTTTGTTGTACGTCCCCTTGGAATTATAAGGTTCTATCTGCGTTCTGAGCAGTTTTGAGATATTGAGCTTCAAAGTTTTTGCATTACATATAGGAAAATTTATATGGGGAACAAGTTTCATTTAAACATGAAAATAACAGGGACCCTAAATGTATTCTAAACATACAATATCAAAATCCTCTCAAATTTGTAAATGGGGATTTTTGGAATGGGTCAAATGCAGATAGAACCTTCTAATTCTAAAAAAAAACAAAAAAAAAAACACTTCGCTTAGAATTATAAGGTTCTATCTGCCAAAACATTATTTGAACATTAAATTAAAAAAAAAAAAATGTTGTAACAATGTCTCAACATGTTAGAAAGTAAAATTTTATCCTTTCTCTGACATTTATTTAATATTTTTTAGCACTTCCATGTATTTAGGACATTTCAAATTAAGCAAGGTAGGTCTAAATATTTTCCCCAGTGCATAATCTTTTGATACCAATTTGGTGGGTAATTAAACACATTATTGCAGAAATTATACTTTAATCTTTCTTTTGCTTAGACAGAAAGCAGCCACTGTAATACATCCGAGCAGGACTTTATTCCAGCTAAAGTGGGCCAGGTAAAATGGCTTTCTCTCTAGACCTCAATATGGCTGAAATTACATGCAAACGTTTATTGTTGTAATTAAGACCCCATTAATTAAATTGTTAAATGTTTGACCTATAAGCCTTAATATGGTAAACTGGTTAAGCCTAAATATGGCCATTTTAAGACTTTAAAACTGCAAGAAAATCGACATGCTTCAGCAAATTAATTCATAAAGTTTAATAATCATTGAAAAATTATTCACTGACTATATAATTGTCACAGTCTTTGTCTGCACCATTCTGTCTTAGTCATCTTCACTACACTTCCCAGCATCCTCTTGTCTCCACACCTGAACTCACTCCCTCAATCATCCACCTGTTCATCGTCCTGATCATCTGTGTCACCTATCGTCACCTTGTTAGTGTTCATTTTGTATCTGTATTTAGTTCTCTCTGTTTCAGTCTGTGCTTGTCGGTTCTTGATTGTTTCATGGATATGAAACATACAGTGAGCTATATATTCTGTTTCATGCAAATCATGGATAAAAATCTTCCTTAAAGAGCAACAAAACTGCTCAGAAGTGCTAAAGTTTCTGTATTTTGAAACGATGAATAATGCAAATGATAGTTCACACAATTCTGTTGTCATTTATTCACCCTCATGTTGTTCCAAACCTGTATGAATTTCATTCAACCGTTGATGGACCCCATTGACTTCCATAGAATTGTTTTTCCCATATTATGGACGACGTCAATGGGGTCAATCAACTGTCTGGTTACCCATATTTATCAAAATATCTTCTATTGCAACATTTGCTATTATGAGCATTACATTTACATTTATTCATTTAGCTGACACTTTTATCCAAAGCGACTTACGATTGCTATATATGTCAGAGGTTGCACGCCTCTGGAGCAACTAGGGGTTAAGTGTCTTGCTCAGGGACACATTGGTGTCTCACAGTGGATTCGAACCCGGGTCTCTCACACCAAAGGCAGCCTTTACCTGAGTGGTTTTTAACTAGGTGTTCCTGTACCTGTGTTATCACATTATACATGAAGCTGTAATGAACACCATTGTATAATGTGCATGTATTTTAAAATAATACTGACCAAGATTATATGAAATTGCAAAAGGAAAATCTAGAAAAAGTAGCTTAAAATCACATGATAGTGTCTCATGTTTCATTATAAATGATAACGAGCTAAACGTTTTACAAAACTATACACAGAAATATAAACACATGAAGAAAAATACATAGCTAATTTTGGTCCCATTTTCCAACACGGCCAGGTAAAAGTCCTTTCGGAAGAGTCTGTAGCACCCTGTGGCCATCAGGTGGCAGTAATGTCTAGAAGGAGATGAGCAGAGAGTTGGTGAGAGACTGCTGACTCTCTGCTCTCTGTATTGTCTCGCCATTAGAGAGGATCTCACACGCAGCCAGTTCATGACAGAGAGCGTTCAGCACCTCCAAGATATGTGCTTTCCCTGCAAATCAGTTATAGAGAAGCTAAGCTTTAGATCTGTGTGCGGCTAATATGCTAGAAATAGAATCTTTCAAATAAATACATCTACACTAAAAAATGCTGGGTTGTTTCAACCCGAATTTGGGTCAAATATGGACAAACCCAAATGATGGGTTAAAAATGTAATTTAAAATTTTAACACCCAGCTGAAACAACCCAGCATTTTTTAGAGTTTATTCTAATAACACACATACATATAATAGTTTTAGTTTAAGGTTTAGTTCATTGATTATTCAAAAATAATCAATGTCACAACTTTTTTTGCTTTACATTTCTTGAAATCCCAAAACTTATTTCTGTCTAAAAAAAAAAAAAAAAGAATCCCCTATTTTTAAAGTGGTTGCAGACCTTTGTAGGACACTGTATATCTAGTGCTCCTGCCACATTTTTTATTGCATACCAGGCCTGGTAAACAGTAAAGGTTTTATAAGAGCAAAGCTGGCAAGTTAAAAGTTATTGTGTCTCTTACCATGCTGAGGATCACTGCAAGACTCCAATGTGCTGAGTAAAATCTTTCCTAAAGATCTTCTTGAGACATTCTACAATAAAAAAATAAATAACATCATATTAAAGTATTAAAAAAGGCAATTAAATGGCAAAATACTCGACCACACATAACTGAATGTTTCATAATAATAATATAATTAATGATTATTGCAAAAAAAAAGAGAATATTACAGATGAACATTTTATTATTTATAATTTTAATATTTATATACATATTTTTAGGGGTTTGTTCAAATTGCACACCAGCAAACACCAATAACAATCATTTAATTTACTGGTAATGCATTTATAAAATTGTAAAATACACTGTAAAAAGCGATCAATTGACTGAACCTAAAAAAAGTGAAGAAACTCTTTAACTTTAACATTTTTAAGTAATAAACTTCATGCATAATTGAAATAATTAAGTTGTGTGAACTTGACAATTCGATAAAAACTAAATTTTTTCATTTATGTATGACGTTTATTTACTTCAGAATTTTAAGGCAATGGGTTTCCTCACTTTTTTACGTTAAGTCAACTGATCACTTTTTACACAGATCACTGAAACTGAAAATATTAATTGCACCTTATATAGCCCCGCCCCTTTTCAGCGCTGGGCTCGTTGTCTTTTGTCTTCCGGTCTGTATAATCACAGCGATCTTGCCTATTTATGACTGAACGGCTCGTTTTAAAATCATCCCGGTCGACTGATATTTGATAATCTGCTTTAAACATTTCAATCCTCATGATAACTTTTGTTAACTTTACATTAAGCAAATCCACTTCAAAAGCTAATTACTCATGGAGCGCAATGCCATAGAGATATACAGAAAGACAATATTCTAAAGATGGCGCATAAGGTCTATATGAGAACAAAAATGAAAGCATGATAATCAAATGTCTGTGTTGCTGACATCCTAAATATTATTTTTGAATCAATCCTGGATTAACACCCATCTATTGGGCTGATGAGTCTGACTCTGCAATCCCTCCAGATTTACTCCCTAGAGATTCCTTTTGACTGACCAGCTCTCGCAGCTGCTGCAGAAGCTGTAGCACATCCATCAGTTTCTCCTCCACCAGAGACAAACGCACCCGCTCCGTCTCCAGCATCTGCAGCTCCAGGTGTAGCAGCTCGGTCTCCTCGGCCTTCTGTTGTAGCTCCTGGACCAGGGCGTCCCGCATCTGCAGACACACGACTTACCGTTGACCTTGCGCATATTTAAACACTAATGCTCCCAAAACACAAAGAATTTCAGGTTAGGAGAATCTCTGCCAGATGTGCCGATAGCCCATAATTCAGCCGAGACACATAATTTCTCAGACAGAAATAGTTCAGATATGCTTGTTTTTGGCCTGTCTGACCATATGTCAAAAATCCACATCTGCCTGCGTTCGCGTTAATGCTCGCCCCAAACTGGTTAAGCCCAGAATGTGCCTGGATATTTTTCCATGAATATGTGTGGGGCCTTTTTAAAAACACTAGCAACATAGTTCACGTCTGGTGCATCGCAGCCGACGTCTGTCTTAACAGCTCGGTGTACGTGTAATTGTGTAAGGCCTGGAGGTTTATTTGTGTGGTCATCTCAGGAAGGGACAGCGATTGGCTGCTCACATTGACACACACGGCTGGTTGCTTGGGTGGGAGTGTAAGAGCTGAGGCTTTTCTTTGAAGCCCGTCGTTCTCTTAACAACTGCTCGGTGGGCAAGTGCCTTGTAATCTAATTTTACACTCCTGCACCCGAAAGTGAAACAGAACAGAAAGTCCTGGTTGGGTGACGTAAGCCGTTTAGAAGACCAGCAGCCAAAGCGTATTTGGATTAACTTAAACATTTAAAATCTCTGATACGTATTTTAACTGCTGGATTCATATGTGCGTTTAATTGGCGGTCAATGTTATTCTGCTCTTCGGATGTCCGTGTCATCCCCGACTCACATTATTAGCATCTGTGGTAAGACTAAATGAATCCAAATATTTAGTAAATAGTCTTTTTTGCTGAATGAGAATTTTAATTAAAGGTGCAGTAAGCAATTTATGGCAATTGTTGTTGAACACTGTTGATATTTGATACAACCCAAACAAACACACCCCTCCCTTCATTGCTCCGCCCCCAAAAACACAAACTCGCATTGCAAGAGTGGATGTCTCTTTGTGATAGCTGAAGCGAAGCAAAATAAACATGACAAATGAT